TTTGCTGTTGAGAACTCCAAGCCTTTACAAAATTTTTTTGGTTTTGAAAATATTGAATATTGACATCTTCAGTTTTATGGGAATGGAAGCTATATATGTCCCTTGGTGCTCTGACCCCTGATGCTGGGGGTAAGGTGAGTCAGATGCAAAGGATCGGACATGAAGGGCACGCTCTCTTTCCCTTGGCAGGCGGAGATGGATCTGGTGGCCTGGGGCGTGGACCTGGCCTCCGTGGAGCAGCACATCAGCAGCCACAGAAGCATCCACAACTCCATCGGGGACTATCGCTGGCAACTGGACAAAATCAAAGCCGACCTGGTACTTTGAGATGTTTCATTTTTAGAGTCCTGAAAAAGCATACCTAAGGATTGTGTAGTTCCTCAATCCTGGGCATTTTTGTCTGAAAACATTAGCCTAAGATTTCTTCCCTAATGGACTGGAAACTTCTAAAAATCCCATTTCATAAATGGGAAGTGGACTTGGATAGACCTAGTAGAGATTTTGTTAACTCTTAAGGAAGAGGTAAGCAAAAGGCAAAGGGCATACACACGTGGATTTGTGCATAGTTTGTAGATGAGTATTTTTGGGGATGATAGGGTTTTTTTGTTTGTTTTGTTCAGAAAGCAGAGCATCTCTTCAAATAGAGAAAGCACAGCAGTCGTAGAGTTTTGTGTGCTTGGCGAATTCTTTCCTATGTGTCTCTTCCTGACACTTTTCCTTTGCTGAAAAGACTGGCTTGAAGCTGAGTCAAGAATTACGGCATGAAATAATCACCCGGTTTTAAGTGCCTGGTTCCCCCCAGATCTTCCTGCTTCTAAATCCCTCACTTTTTTTTTCTTTACTTCGACCAGAGATACTCATCTTCACTTCTTCTGTCTTTTTTCTCCCCTTACTTTTGTCCACCTGAGTATCTGACCAAATTTCTCCCTCTTTTCTCTAAGATCTAAAAGATGGTACCACCAGGCCAGTGGAGGGGGTGAGGGTTGCCTTCAAATCCAACTGGGAAAAAGTCCCCATGGGTAAAAGTTTCTATAGAGCAAACACTTCTTTCTACTGAATGATCTGAAGTCATTATCTGACAAAAAGGAGGTTTAGAAGGGTTGCTGTTTGTATACAAACCCACAAGGGGAATTAAATAATTACTCGCTGTTTATCTTCTTCTAGCGTGAGAAATCTGCCATCTACCAGTTGGAGGAGGAGTATGAAAACCTGCTGGTAAGCTGACTTATTTCTGACATCTCTGTGTTCCATTCCATTAAAATGGAGCATGCCTGGGCGTGAGGCACCTAATGACCGTGGGAGTACCTGAAAGTATATACTTAGGGCCTGTAGATGCTACTTTCATTTCTACTGCTGGGTTTCCTTTAGTAGTGAGTGTTAGAAGATTTTTTTCTGAAGACAGTACCCAGCGCTGTTCTGTTTGTAAGTTGAGTGTCACAGAGAGAAGGGGAGAGAGAGAAGCCTCAAGCAGACTCCCTGCTGAGCGTGGAACCTGACTCGGGACTTGATCCCAGGACCCTGAGATCATGACCTGACCCCAGCTGAAATCAACAGTCAGACACTCAACTGACTCGGCCACCCAGGCACCCCGGCAATGATCCTTTTTAAATAATGTGGCTAGCTGTGACACAATTGTCCTATTAGGTCTGGGTGTGACTTCCTTGAATTTTGGGAGTGCAGAAGAGGGCAGGAAAAGCTTAATTTATCTTTTTAAGATTTTATTTATTTATTTGACAGAGAGAGACATAGCGAGAGCAGGAACACAAGCAGGGGGAGTGGGAGAGGGAGAAGCAGGCTTCCCGCAGAGCAGGGAGCCCGATGTGGGACTCGATCCCAGGACCCTGGGATCATGACTTGAGCCGAAGGCAGATGCTTAATGACTGAGCCACCCAGGTGCCCTTAATTTATCCTTTTAAGATTCTAATTTTCCCTTTGTATTCTAAAACTAATTATTGAACCCAAGCATTAGTGCCTGAATCAAGACCCTCTTGAATTAGGTTATTCCATTGAATCTAAAATTACTCCCTGTTCATTGTTAAGTTTGGATGGGTCTTTTTTTACATACTAGGTGGTCAGTGAACATTTTATTGATTCATGTGATTGATTGATTGATTTAAATAATTAATTAAAATTTTTTTTTTATGTAAAAGGGACCACACAGACTTATCTCTGGAATCTGCAGAGAACACCATTAATGTGCATACTGTGATCCTAATGCTGCTTTTGAACTTCCTGTGTAGAAAGCGTCCTTTGAGAGGATGGATCACCTACGACAGCTGCAGAACATCATCCAGGCCACGTCCCGAGAGATCATGTGGATCAATGACTGTGAGGAGGAGGAGCTGCTCTATGACTGGAGTGATCGGAACACCAACATTGCCCAGAAGCAGGAGGCCTTCTCTGTAAGCTCGCCCCTCCTGGTTGTAGATGTGAGGCTCTTGCCTGGGATGGCCCTGAGATGGGGATGAATGGCCTTGCAATAACTTAATCAACTCCTTTGTCATTCAGCCTCTGTTGAAATGGTCATGGAGAGCCATTCCTTTCTGGAAGCTTTTCCGGTGACTTTAGAGGGGCAATGCATTGCTTAACATCCTGTAAGCCAGCAGATAGGGTCAGAATTAGGCGTTCAGATACCCCAGAGGGTGTGTAGCACAGTAGGATGGTGGATTAAAACCTATGTGTGGCTTTGGACAAGACATGTCACCATTGTGGCCTCTGCCATGTACTGGATGACCTCAAACGTCCTTTTTGGTCTTAATAATGCTATGATTCTTGAGGAAACCATAACACAATTCTTTGACATTGCTCATTTCCACAATGCAGTTTTGTGTTCTAAGTTCCCTTCAATATGGTGGAAGTGCTGGAAGGCTAATGGTGACTTGCTCTGAAGTGTTTGCTTTTCTTTCATTTATAGATACGCATGAGCCAACTGGAAGTTAAGGAAAAAGAGCTCAATAAGCTTAAACAAGAAAGTGACCAACTTGTCCTCAATCAGCATCCGGCTTCAGACAAAATTGAGGTAGGCTTCATGAGATTTATATTTTTATTAGAGGAAAAAAAGGGAACTTTTTGTAAAGACTATACAGATGAATGATTCTATCTGTCATAAAGCCATGACAAGTTTATTTTATATATTTTGCAATCAGCACGCTAGGCTGGCAGTTGGCAAGCATTTCTGGAAAGGACCAAATAATAAACATTTTAGGTCTGCAAACCATTTGGTTTCTGTCGAAATTACTTAACTCTGCCATATAGTGTGAAAGCAACCATAACAATATGTAAGTGAACAGGCATGGCTGTGTTCCAGTAAAACTTTATTTATAAATGCAGGCAGCGGGCCAGATGTGGCCCTTGGGCTGTGGCTTGCTGACCTCTGCCCTAGGCTCCCATCTGTGGGCTGTGCTCAAGGCTGACATTAGCTGGTATGACATCAACTGGTATGGCCATATTGGTTGTTAAAGAAAAAAAAACAAAGTATTTTCCTATCAGTTGGTGAGAGTCACTGCCTTAAGACCCTCAAGCCCTCTGCATGGGTTCCTTGGACTTGCCTGTCATCTTAGCAGCTGTATGGGAACAGGGTGCAGCGGAAGGACCCTGCTCCAGTGTCACCTCTAGTGTCTACTCTAATTCTGATTGGTCGGTAGCGATGCCATTTGAATGAGTATTTTGACAAATACTCCTAATGGTATCTATTTGCTAAAACTGGTTTTAAAGTTTAATTTCTACCATACCATGAGTTCCCTGTTGGGAAATTCTGTTTTCACTTTTTAGAAAAACGTTTGCTTGATTTGGTAGTCAGTAAAAAAATGTTTCGTAGCTTTCAGTCGGGCTCACCTATCTATCAAAGAACGGATGTCCTTGGATGCCTGAGTGGTGATGTGACAGCTGATGTTTTCTTGCTTCAGGCCTATATGGACACTCTTCAGACACAGTGGAGCTGGATTCTTCAGATCACCAAGTGCATTGACGTTCACCTCAAAGAAAATGCTGCCTACTTTCAGGTTTTTATGCTTAGTAGTAATTTAATTGTCGTTTACGTCCTAATACCTTATTTTTTGGGATGTATTTTTTTAAAGCACCAAAAACAACCTTCAAAATATTTTACAAATACCATTTATTGGCTTTCAGTTTAGAGGAGCACAGACTGGTAACCCGGGCACCAGTCGCTCAGATGTCTCTTGCTGTCCCATGAGTTAATATCGTTTCTTTAGCCACCTGTTAAATAGACTCTGGGAAGGTAGTCCTTGACATGGAAATGCTAGATGTTGCTGTTTACTGACTGCCTTTTCATTAACATGTGATCACGCTCATCTTCAATAGTTTTTTGAAGAGGCCCAGTCAACCGAAGCCTACCTGAAGGGCCTTCAGGACTCCATCAGAAAGAAGTACCCCTGTGATAAGAACATGCCCCTGCAGCGCCTGCTGGAACAGATCAAAGAGCTGGAGGTATCATCACAGAGCAAAAACAGAGAGAATACTGATTACTTGGTGTGAAATTTCCTTTGGAAAAGCATACTTTAAATTCCATCCACATAGGCTTTTCACACAATGATAGTCTTTCCTGCCCACTCAATTCACGGCTATGTAGCTTCCGAAGTGGCTCATTATGAAAGGTCCCGAGAGTCCCTGCCCATAGAGGAATTTGTAGCTTTTTGGAGCTCCTACAAGGATAGCAATTTCTTATTTGTCATGTCGTAGCAGCTGTATTGGTGGCACTTGCAGCTCTTCTCTGAAATTCACAGAGTATCTATGTGATGAAAATACGATCTTATTTGCAATTGCAGAAAGAACGAGAGAAAATCCTCGAATACAAGCGTCAGGTACAGAACTTGGTAAACAAGTCCAAGAAGATCGTGCAGCTGAAACCACGGAACCCAGACTATAGAAGCAACAAACCCATTATTCTCAGGGCTCTCTGTGACTACAAACAAGACCAGGTGTGCACTCGGTTATTCAGAATGAAGCCCAAGTTTTCCCTTTCTTTACACAGAGAGTTTTGCCAATAGAGGGAGTCGAGTTTAATCCAGGTTTCAGGGAGCAGCATAGAAAATGCCTTTCTTTCATACACAAAGCAGCAAGCTGTGGAAATGCAGTAGCTCTGTTCTAAGTCCTAGCAGAGTTTTTAATAATTAGGACAGCGGTTATTTATAGACTATTTATTTTATTTTATTTTTTGGTAAAGATTTTATTTATTTGAGAGAGAGAGAGAGAGAGACAGAGAGCGGGAGCAGGAGGAGGGGCAGAGGGAGAGGGAGAAGCAGACTCCCTGCTGAGCAGAGAGCCTGATGAGGGGCTCGATCTCAGGACCCTGGGAGCATGACCTGAGCCAAAGGCAGACGCTTAACAGACTAAGCCACCCAGGCGTCCCTAGACTATTCATTTTAAGTCTTAATACTTCTTCTAATATGCAAAACTTTATTTGTGATTACCCTTTAAATCTTAAATTTTAAAGTCTTTAAATTTCTTGAAAGATCTTTGAATTTCTGACATAAAAGAAATGAGAAATGTGACCATTATGCTGCATATGAAGTGACTATCATTGCAGATTTTCTGCAGTCACTGAGCCCATCAACTCTGCGGGCTCTGCAGTAAATACAAGCATCTACATGGAAAGATGACTTGGTTTTGCTAGTTATTTATGTAATTCCCACAGCTCTGATTTCTTATAAAAATTACGGAGGGTTTAAGAAATACGATCAGTTGCTTAGATAAATGTTCTAAAACAATGGAATTTATTCTGGCAGGAAAAAATATTTTTCCTTGCATGGAAAGGAGAAGTTGAAATAGAGATTGAAATATGTAAATATCAAGCTGGTCACATTTCACCAGTGAGGATAGTTGTCATTTTCGAAGTGTACCCCTTTCAAGAAGCTATGGAGTTAATTTAAAAAATAAGGTGTTTGGATGGTGGAGTTAATTTAGAAAGTTGTTTTTCTGGGGACCTGATGCCAGAATTTCTTGTTTTTACTTCTAAATTTTAAGAGTGACTGCATGAGGCAAGTGACTTCGCATAGTAAATCTAAAATGTAAAATATGAACTCAAAAATAGGAAAGCTATGGGGTGAATTTTTGCTTTGTAAAAGGATTTCTCACTTTACTGATGGATTCCCCAGGCTGTCTTTGGAAAGTTACTTTACCTAATTCACTTTATACACACCTTTTAGGCTCTGGTGCATTATTTAAAGCATCAGTATTGTTGGGATGTATAAAGATCATCTTCATTTAAAGAAAAATAATAAGGGGCACCTGGGTAGCTTAGTCAGTTAAGCATCTTACTCTTGATCTCGACTCAGGTCATTATCTCATTGTTGTGAGTTCAAGCCCCATGTTGGGCTCCACACTGGGCGTGGAGCCTATTTAAAAAAAATAAAATAAAATAAAGAAAAATAATAAGGTAAAAGCGCAAATGGTTTGCACAGTTTTATCTCTATTTCTCTCTTTGAGAAAAAAAGATAAGCATGTGTACTCATGAGTAAAGCCAAAACACGGGCCACTTGCCTTACAGAAAATCGTGCACAAAGGGGATGAGTGCATCCTGAAGGACAATAATGAGCGCAGCAAGTGGTACGTGACGGGTCCTGGAGGTGTGGACATGCTCGTCCCTTCTGTCGGTCTGATTATCCCTCCTCCGAATCCTCTGGCCATAGACCTCTCTTGCAAGTAAGTTGTTGAAGTTTCTAGTAGCCACAACGTGAATGCGAGTGTAGAGAAATAGGGCAAGTGCTTATACGAAAAACACATACTCTTTTTCACTAAAATCCCCTCCCTTGAAAAAAGGAGCCTCAGGAAGGTCCCCTTGCATTATTATGTGACTTTATGTTGAAGATTCTATAGTTTTTATTGGAAGGTAAAAGAGAATGTCTGACTGTGTACGGGGACCGGAGGAAACAATTCTTTTTTTTAAAATAGTAAATATTTAACGTGTAAATATTAAACAACACACTACTGCACAAGCAGTGGGCCAGATAAGAAATCAAATGGCAAATCAAAATATGTCTCAAAACAAAAGAAAAAACCCCACAATATTCCAAAACCTATGGGATGCAGCAAAAGCAGACATTACAGTAGAAATTTACCTGTGAATGCTTGTATTAAGAAAAAAAGTTCAAATAAACAACTTAACATTATACCACAAGGAACCAGGAAAAGAAGAAACCTAGCTGAAATTTAACAGAGGAAGGAAAGAACAAAGAAAAATCAGAAATAAATAAAATCAAGACCAGAATAAACAATAACATAACATTGAAAGTAATAATCAGTTTTTCCAAAAAGAGAAACAAAATTGGCAATGCTTTAACTACATTAGCTAAGGGGGGAAAAAAAGAGAAAAGACTCAAAAATCAAAATGAGAAATGGAAGAGAAAACAGTATAACAGTTAACCACAGAAATACATAGTGTGATAACAGATTACTCTAAAGAATTATATATTAACAAATCAGATAACTTAGGGGGGAAAAAAACCCAGATAATTCCTAAAAATGCACGAGTTACCAAGACTGAATCATGAATCTTGAATCCAAGTAATAGGAAATCTTCATAGACCAATAACAAGAATGAAAGTTGAATTAGGAATCAAAAATCTCCTGGCCCAGAAAAGCTCAAGACCACATTAAAAATATATACTTTATGACAATCTTTATCAAAATCTTACAAATAATGGAATAGAGGAAACACATTCAAAATCATTCCATGAGGCCATATTACCCTAACCAAAGCAGGATAAAAATACAAAAACAAGAGTCTAATTTGTCCCATATAAATAGTTACTCCGACTTTCTTTTGACATCCATTTGCATAATAAATATTTCTCTACCCCCTCACCTTCACTCTGTAGCTGTTAGTCTAAAATGATTCTCTTGTAGGCAGCATATAGATGGGTCTTGTTTTTTTTTCTTTTAATCTGTTCTGACATGCTATGACTTTTGGTTAGAGCATTTAGTCCATTTATATTCAAAGTAATTATTGATAGATATGTATTTATTGCCATTTTATTACTTGTTTTGTCATTGTTTCTGGAGATATTCTCTAATCCTTTCTTGTCTTTGTCACTTTTTGTTTCTCCTTTGCACTCAAAGAGTGTCCTTTAATATTTCCTGCAGGGCTGGTTTAGTGGTCATAAACTCCTTTAGTTTTTGTTTGTCTGGGAAACTATCTCTCCTATTCTGAGTGACAGCCTTGCTGGATAGAGTATTCTTGGCTGCAGCCTTTTCCCATTCAGTACTTTGACTATATCATGCCACTCCCTCTGGCTTGCCAAGTTTCTGTTGAGAAATCTCCAGCTAGCCTTACAGGTTTTCCCTTGTAAGTTAAGGACTTCTTTTGTCTTGCTGCTTTGAAGATTTTTTTCTTTATCACTCTTTTGCGAATTTAATTACAATATGTTTGGTGTTGGCCTGCTATTGTTGATTTTGATGGGAGTTCTCTGTGCCTCCTGGGTCCAGATGTCTGTGAGGAAACAATTCCTACCATGTATCTTGAAGGCATTGTTTCAGAGTTCTTCTTCCCTTTTTAGACTATCAGTAGTTTTGCAGTTAGCCACAAACATAAAATGCCCTTCATATAAATACCTGCTCATCAACAGGCAGGTAGAGCATTCATTGTACCGATTGTCCACGGCAGATTCTTGTCCACCTTTTATTATGGAAATCCTCAGCCATACACAGAATAAGGAAGGTAGCATAAACAAGCCCATGTGCTCACTTCCAAGCTGCAGTAGCCATCAGCATCCCATGAGCGGTTTCTCCCTGTCATCCTGCATGGTGTCAGACTTCTGTCTATTAAAAAGTTGCTGACAAACAACACAAGAACAAAGAAATGTATATTTTGACCCAAAGTGAATTACCTCTACTAATGTCGTTCACTGAGAATGAGCTTTTGGGGAATAACTTAGTCCAGATCCATTGAAATGTTGAGTGTTTAAAAAGTAGACATTTGCCCATTACTCTGTTAGTTCTTAGGGACTCCAGTGTGTTTTCCCCTTGTGCCTTCTAGGATTGAGCAGTACTATGAGGCCATCTTGGCTCTGTGGAACCAGCTGTACATCAACATGAAGAGCCTGGTGTCCTGGCACTACTGCATGATCGACATCGAGAAAATCAGGGCCATGACCATCGCCAAGGTATATCCTCAGGACCACTCGGGCTGCCTGGAGGAGGCTCCATGCTGCTCCCGTGGTCCCTAGGCAGACCTCCTAGCAGTGCAGCTGATGCTTTTGTATCTCATCAGGAGAGTTAGCTCAGCCTGCCTGAGTGGTTAGGGTCCATCCCACATAGAATGGGAGGGATTCACAAGTGGTTGGCTCTGGTACAAACAGAAGTACGAATTAAAGTTCCCTGACAAGCCAGAAGTACCGTGGAAAAGGCATGTAGTCCTGTAATACCCTGGATCTTATTCTCCTTTGATGTGATGGAAAGCTAGGTCATAAATTATCAACTGGATATCACAAATAAAAGGTGGGATAGAATTCTTGAAATAACACCCAGAGCATTACTTCTCTAGATCAGGGGTTTTCAAGTTATGGTCTGAAGAATCCCAGCTTAAGGGGGTCCTCGAGGGATGACAGGACCAGCAGAGGGGAGAGAGGCTCAGAATGGATACATCTGGTGCTCCCCCTTACTCCCCGTTTTCTCTTTTCAGTCAGAGCAGCTTTGCTATGATCTGCTTTAGATTTGCGACTTCTGAGTAATATTTCCTTTGGTGAATAAAATTCTGCAGGAAAAAAATAGACAACCCAGTGCTCTGGCTCTGAGGAGCAATCTTGGAATCCTCAAGGACCTTTTATATCTTTTTTTTTTTTAAGATTTATTTATTTGAGAGAGAGAAAGAGAGAGAGAGAGCACAAGAGGGGGAAGGGGCAGAGGGAGAGGGAGAATCTCAGGCAGACTCCGCACTGAGCGCAGAGCCTGACGTGGGGCTTGACCTCACAACCTTGAGATCACGACCTGAGCCGAAACCAAGAGTCAGGTGCTTAACTGACTGCGCCACCGAGGAGCCCCAAAGACCTTTTCTATCTTAATCGGCCTTTGAAAGTATTGCCTTAAGTCCCCACTAGCATAGGGCTTTTTCCAACACTCTTCTTGGTCACGCTATGGGGACAATCAAACACTCCTGCCTGGTTTACTTCCAGCTGAAAACGATGCGGCAGGAAGATTACATGAAGACAATATCTGACCTTGAGCTGCATTACCAAGAGTTCATCAGGAACAGCCAGGGCTCGGAGATGTTTGGAGATGATGATAAGCGGAAGATGCAGTCTCAGTTCACGGATGCCCAGAAGCACTACCAGACCCTGGTCATACAGCTCCCTGGTCACCCCCAGCACCAGACAGGTGTGCAGCGTCTTTCTCTTTGTATCCACCACACACACAGCTTTAACAGAAAGTAGTTCACTTACAACTAGTTTCAGAATCACTTCTTCGGGAAATAACATATCAAAAGTCACCTATACACTAAATTTTCAGAATCAAATCAAAGGAGGGAGCTACAGTTTGCACAGTATGGGTATTTTTTGAGGCCAAGCACCCTTCCAGCTAGGAATTCTCTGATTTTTGCTGCCCTAACATGTTTTTACAGTAACCACAACTGAAATCACTCATCATAGTTCCTGCCAAGATCTCAACCATAATAAAGTGATTGAAACCAACAGAGAAAATGACAAGCAGGAAACATGGATGCTGATGGAGCTCCAGAAGGTTCGCAGGCAGATGGAACACTGTGAGAGCAGAATGACCCTTAAAAACATCCTTCTAGCCGACCAAGGGTCTACGCACCACATCACAGTGAAAATAAATGAGCTCAAGGTGGGCATCCAGTACTGTTTTGCCTCATTCCAGCTATATTTGAATTTATCTGCAAACTAATTAAAAAAACTACTGGTTTAAATATTTATAGAGAAGAAGCACTAATTTTCAAGAAAACAGGCTGCTGGCAGGATTTCTTTTTTTCTCTCCCATGCCTCCAAATTTGTAGAAGGTTACTAGGCTGGGGATTAAGCCACCTTTGTGTTGGTTTATGGGTTGCTGAACCAGGCTACAGTGTTTCCCTTTGTGGGACATCGTTGTACTTCATTCATTTTTAAAGTTTTCATAAACATTAATTTGGTTGCTGTCTGAAACCACCTGTGATACGGGCTAAACAGGTGGAATTATTATAGACAGGAGACTGACACGGAGAGATTTGATGGGGCAGGGGAGGGGGGGCTGGTAAAAGCTCAAAGCCATGGACAGAGCTGGGGCTGTAGCCCCAGTGTTTTAACTCCCCTCACCGGGATCTTTTCTGCTCAGCCACACCTGGGCACCACATTAGGAAATGCAAGGTATATATCCTAAGAAAGAGGGCCATGTTTACACAGTGCCGATAAGGCCTCCCTGAAGAAGGAAATGAAATGTCAGTTCTGTCTCTTGAGTCTTTTCCATTTAGTGGACTTGTTCGGGACAAAAAATGATGATAAGAATCAGACAATTAAATCTAGCACTTTCCTTCTTTTTTTGAACAGAGTGTGCAGAATGATTCTCAAGCAATTGCTGAAGTTCTCAACCAGCTCAAAGATATGCTAGCGAACTTCAGAGGTTCAGAAAAATACTGCTATTTACAGAATGAGGTATTTGGACTGTTCCAGAAACTGGAAAACATCAATGGTGTTACAGATGGCTACTTAAACAGGTAAACGCGACTGACCTCGATCACAGACATTTTGCTGTTCTCAAGCTTCAGTTTGTCAGACTTCATTCGCTTTCTATGCTTGACTCACTGTGGCCTTGTCTTCCAGTTTCTCGGTTCACTACAGGCTTACTTACACTCTTCTGTGCTTCTGAGAGAGGGTCCTCTAGCCTCGGTGTTCATTCCACCGTGGTGAGATCTAGTGCATCTTACAGCTAAGGTATATCTGTAATAGCCAGGACTTCGAAACTTCAGTGAAGGCGCAAGGGCTGTCTGAGTCATGGTGCAGGGGCAGAGGGAGGGAGTTGATTCCTCCTGCAGCTTGTAAAATGGGCAAAATGAATTTTTATTGGCTTTAACGTTCTTTCATTAGTAGTGGCCAGAGCCAAACCTTCAAAGGCTAATTACATCACCGGCAATGTTCTTGGCCTCCTTGGCTCTTTACAGCTTATGCACGGTGAGAGCTCTACTCCAGGCTATCCTGCAGACAGAAGACATGCTGAAGGTGTACGAAGCCAGACTCACCGAAGAGGAAACCGTGTGCCTGGATCTGGATAAAGTGGAAGCTTACCGCTGTGGGCTGAAGGTAACCGAAGTTATATCCTGTTATCACAGTGCCCCGGGTTATGGGAAATAATGCAGGACTGCTCAGTCCCCAATCCTGAGGCTTCACTAAGTGTTTATGAGTCTTGAAGATTCCTGGATTTCACTGGCCATACATGGTTGACGTCTGTCTTTATCTCTAGGACACTGTTTTCCAAAGCGTGCTAGTAGGAACTATGTGCATAGGTAATTTGTGGTGAGATTAGTTTGGGGAATGCAGAGTTGAACCTAATTAAACTGGTTTCTTTACTACAGGACTTCTCTTCCTCTTCAAGAACGTTCATATGTGTTATAATTATTCAGGAATGGAATAGAGTATGGTATTCAGCATTCGCAAACAAATGAATTTCTCACACCGAATCTTTTATTAATGGGGTAGCGTAAGGAAGTAGATCATGGACATAAATATTGGCAAATGCAATCAGTAAATACATCTTCCTGGATTGATTATCACTTAAAAATACAAGTATTCCAAGAGATTAATTTGTACTCTTTTCTTTCTCCTGTGACAGAAAATCAAAAATGACTTGAACTTGAAGAAGTCCTTGTTGGCCACAATGAAGACAGAGCTGCAGAAAGCCCAGCAGATCCACTCCCAGACCTCACAGCAGTATCCACTCTATGGCCTGGATCTGGGCAAGTTCAGTGACAAAGTCACACAGCTGACAGACCGCTGGCAAAAAATAGATAAACAGATAGACTACAGGTGTGCCAACGTCTTTCCCTGCTTTCTTCCCATTTGGTTGTTCCAAGATAATGTCACTTGAAGTAATCACTATAAAAGTAGTGGTTTGGTTTGGTGTCTAAGGTAGGCACAAGGGGCTCTCTGTTCTTGGACTGCCTGGAGGTAGCTTTGTTGGCAATGGGAAGTAGCTAAATCACAATAGACCAGCTTGAATCAACCCATATCAGGTGCTCTCCAGGCTCTTAGGAAGAAGCGGAAGCCATTGATCAGTCTCTTTTGGGCCCTGTAAACTCTTGTTAGGACTGTTGGAAGGAGTAGATGCTTTGAGTGAGTGTTCTTCTGAAATGTAAGAAAATTACATCTTATACAAAAGAAATGCCTTATTCCAAATGAAGGTTTAAAAGTATCCTGAATTTTGATGTAGTTCCTTTTAGTAACTACTTTTTGAAAACATCTTTATTGATCAAAACCAACCAAACAAACATCTTTATTGGTAACTAATTCACGTGTCATACAGTTCACCCATTGGAAGTATACAGTCCAGTGGATTTTAGTGTATCAGAAAGGTGTAACCATCACCACAATCAACATCTACAACATTTTCTTTCCCCTACAAAAAATGCCCCATTCCCATTAGCAGTCACTCCCCATTACCTCCCAACCCTCTGGCCCCAAGCAACTGCCTGTCTTCCCTCTGTCTCTGTAGATTTGCCTATTCTGGACATTTCCTATGAATGGAATCAGACAATGTGTGGTCCTTTGTGACTGTTTTTCCCATTCAGCATAATGTTTTCAAGGTTCCTCCCTAGTGTGGCATGTATCAGTCCTTCATTCCTTTTTATGATTGAATAATATTCTATCATATGGCTATACCACATTTTATTTATTCCTTCATCCGTTGATGATTTTTTGGCTATCATGAAAGACATCACTAGGAACATTCATGTAGAACTTTTCATATGGGTGTGTGTTTTCAGGTCTCTTGGGCATGCAGCAGGTAGAATTACTGGGTGATACTGTGTGATATCATGTGATAACTCTGTTAAATGCTTTCAGGAACAGTAGCATTGCTTTAATAATTTTATCCTGTTTCTCCAGACTGTGGGACTTGGAGAAACAAATTAAGCAACTGAGGAATTACCGTGATAACTATCAGGCTTTCTGCAAGTGGCTCTATGATGCCAAACGCCGCCAGGATTCCTTAGAATCCATGAAGTTTGCTGACTCCAACACAGTCATGCGATTTTTGAATGAGCAGAAGGTACAAGCCAATTTCTCTTTCCCTTAGATAACGCTGGGTGTGAGCTGTGTTTTCCTCTGGTTTTCATAGCAGTACCTAGGTTCGAAACGATATTTAATATTACTAGTTCATTTTGTGAATGCTTGCAGAAGGCCCAAAGGGGGGAAAAAAACAATTGAGATACAAAGAAATCAATTATGAACTAGAAATAATGTAATATTGTAGCAAAGTATCTTTACAAATTGAGGTGTTAGGATCAGAAGAGAGCACAGATTAGAAAGTTTCCTCTTAGAGAAAAAAAGTTGAAGATTTCGTGCTTCTCTTTTCTGAAGAGAAAACATGCTCATCTCCTAAGGTTTAACTGTGAGAACGTGAGGTCATTGAATGTAGAAATAAACTGAGGAAAAACAGTTGTTCGACAGTGAAATAACATTTGTGTAAAATTATTTATACACTTTGATGTTTATGAATACTTTATTTTTTATATAGAACTTGCACAATGAAATATGTGGCAAACGAGACAAATCAGAAGAAGTACAAAAAATTGCCGAACTTTGTGCAAATTCGATTAAGGTATGTTAGCTTCGACAAAGGATGTTGGCATTTCTTTTTTTTTTTTTAGATTTTATTTATTTATTTGACAGAGAGAGTGAGAGAGCACAAGCAAAGGGAGCAGCAGAGGGAAAGGGAGAAGCAGGCTTCCCACTGAGCAGGGAGCCTGACACGGGGCTTGATCCCAGGACCCTGAGATCATGACCTGAGCCGAAGGCAGATGCTTAACCATCTGAGCCACCCAGGTGCCCCGAATGTTGGCATTTCATCAAGAATAAATATTAACTGTGTTTGCTTCAGCAGCACATGTACTGAAATTGGAATGATACAGAGAATATTAGCATGTTCCATATTTTAAAAATCTCTATTATTAACTGCATTATTTTCTGATTTACTTTAAAGAGCACACACCTTTTTTTTTAATTTTAAAGATTTTTTTATTTTTTATTTTTTAGAGAGAGCGCATGTGCATGCACGTGCGTGAGCAGGGGGAAGGGCAGAGGGAGAGGGAGAAAGAGAATCCCAAGTAGACTCCAGGCTGAGCACAGAGCCTGATGTGGGGCTCGATCTCAGGACCTGAGCCAAAATCAAGAGTCAAATGTTTAACAGACTGAGCCACCCAGGCACCCCAAAGACTATAAACTTCTTGAGGATAGCAATTATGGCTTTTATGTATTCTTTCCTGAACAGGCCGTAGAAAGTTTGTTATCCATTAACTTGAATTCATTGCACATTGGCAATATCTGCGGGAATGAGCTGGTCTTCATTCTTTACACTGGTAGTATGTGCAAAAATCTTCATTTGGTATATAAAGATGTACTACTTGGTTTAATAATGTAATATTAGCTACTTGGACACTATCAGTACATGACAGCCTTTGGGCTTGGTCATTAGAAATACGGCTTGATGATTTAAAACCATGGAATTGTAGCTGTCAGTGACTCTTTTAAGCCCATTAGGTAGGTTTATCTTAAACTTTTTTATTCGGCAGGATTATGAACTCCAGCTTGCATCATACACCTCAGGCCTGGAGACTCTGCTGAACATACCTATCAAGAGAACCATGGTGCAGTCTCCCTCTGGTGTGATTCTGCAAGAGGTAAATATGTTATTACATATTTCTTAGTTGCCCCTCCTGCATCTTCTCTTTTCCCTGTCCCCTTCCTGTCTTCCATGCAGACCCGGAATGCACCCCTTGTTACAGTGTATCCATTCAAAACAGGTTTAATAGCAGGTTATGCTCCCTTAGAGTGAGCCATCAATACCTGATGCATTTTAGGAAATGGTCAGTGGAAGTCTGTATCTAGTGTTTCTATGCTAGAATCTTTGCAGAAACTGGGCTTAAGTTCTAGGTTTAATGAGGGAGGCTTTTAACAAGTGGAAAGTGTCTAGTAGATTTTTTAAAAGACAGCTTCTTCCCAAAGATGTCAGAGAACATCACCTGTCAGATGGCTTAGGAGAAACACCCTAGAGTCATGATTTTGGAATACAATGTTATCAGCCCTTTGCTTTGTTGTACTTCTAGATTTTGTAATTAGCACACATGAATGAAGGGAGTTCACTCTTTAAATTATCTTTTCAATTTTAAATTATAATTTCTTTCACTCCTTTTTTTGCAAGGCTGCTGATATGCACGCTCGGTACATAGAACTACTTACAAGGTCTGGAGACTACTATAGATTCTTAAGTGAGATGCTGAAGAGTTTGGAAGATATGAAGGTAATTTATTTACTTTATTTACTTGGAGGATCAGAAAAGAAAATGGAATAGAACCTTATTATTATTATTGCCTCGTTATAACCTGGATTTGGACATACTCACTGGTATATAGTTTGTTCGTAAGTCAGGTGTTAGTTCTGTGATCCAGGACACTGCTCTGAATGGAGTTAGGTAATATTTACAAAATTCTAGCTACTTTACCTTACAAAAAAACCCCAGTAATTTCCTTTATCGTTTGGTCAAGTGATTTGCTTTATTTGTTTGTGTGTGTGTTAAATTAAGGAAGAGAACATCCTGGACTGGCTGGATTTGGATTGTTTTATGTTGAATAATTATTTCATTTACTCCTCATTTCTAATACACACATTGAGTTTATATGGAAACTTTCTACCTTGAAATAAAGGAAACATAATTCATGAAATCTCAAGCTTTTGATCTTGGAAAAAATTGCCTCATTTACAGACGAGGCAAGGGAAACTCAAAGGTGTTCTATCATTTGCTAAGATTGTACAGAGAGTTGATGGAAGAATTGTGATGAGAATACAGATAGCATGCGTTTTTGTCTAGTATCTTTCCCCTCATATCACTCTATATGTGTGCTTCTGTGTGTGTGTGTGTGTGTTTGTGTGTGGTGTGTGCATGCACATATGCAGGCGTGTAAAGAGAAATGAGACCACATGATGGGCTTACAACGTGAGATGTTTTTCTTTCAACCTAATTTCTGCTTTTGCTTCCCCAGCTGAAAAATACCAAGATTGAAGTTTTGGAAGAGGAGCTCAGACTGGCCCGGGATGCCAATTCTGAAAACTGCAACAAGAACAAATTCCTGGATCAGAACCTGCAGAAATACCAGGCGGAATGTTCCCAGTTCAAAGCCAAGCTCGTGAGCCTGGAGGAGCTGAAGAGGCAGGCGGAGCTGGATGGGAAGTCAGCGAAGCAAAACCTGGACAAGTGCTACGGCCAAATAAAAGAACTCAATGAGAAGATCACCCGGCTGACTTACGAGATTGAAGACGAGAAGCGGAGGAGGAAGGCCGTGGAAGACAGGTTTGACCAACAGAAGAGTGACTATGACCAGCTGCAGAAGGCCAGGCAGTGTGAGAAGGAGAGCCTTGGCTGGCAGAAAATGGAGTCTGAGAAGGCCATCAAGGAGAAGGAGTACGAAATAGAAAGGTTGAGAGTTCTTCTGCAGGAGGAGGGCGCCCGGAAGAGAGAATATGAAAATGAGCTGGCAAAGGTAAGAAACCACTATAATGAGGAGATGAGTAATTTAAGGAACAAGTATGAAACAGAGATTAACATTACGAAGACCACCATCAAGGAGATATCCATGCAGAAAGAGGATGATTCCAAAAATCTGAGAAACCAGCTTGACCGCCTCTCGAGGGAAAATCGAGACCTGAAGGATGAAATCGTCAGGCTCAATGACAGCATCCTGCAGACCACTGAGCAGCGGCGGCGGGCTGAGGAAGACGCCCTGCAGCAGAAGGCCTGTGGCTCGGAGATGCTGCAAAAGAAGCAGCATCTGGAGATCGAGCTGAAGCAGGTCATCCAGCAGCGCTCTGAGGACAACGCAAGACACAAGCAGTCCCTGGAGGAGGCTGCAAAGACCATTCAGGACAAAAACAAGGAGATTGAGAGACTCAAAGCTGAGTTTCAGGAGGAGGCCAAGCGCCGCTGGGAATATGAGAATGAACTGGCTAAGGTAAGAAACAATTACGATGAGGAAATCATTAGCTTAAAGAACCAGTTCGAGACGGAGATCAACGTCACCAAGACAACCATCCACCAGCTCACCATGCAGAAGGAAGAGGACACCAGTGGCTACCGAGCCCAGATCGACAACCTCACCAGAGAAAACCGCAGCCTGTGTGAAGAAGTAAAGCGGCTGAAGAACACGTTGGCCCAGACCACGGAGACTCTCCGGAGGGTGGAGGAAAACGCCCAGCAGCAGAAGGCCACCGGCACCGAGGTGTCACAGAGGAAACAGCAGCTGGAGATCGAGCTGAGGCAGGTCACTCAGATGCGCACCGAGGAGAGCGTGCGATACAAGCAGTCATTGGATGATGCTGCCAAGACGATCCAGGACAAAAACAAGGAGATAGAAAGGTTAAAGCAGCTGATAGAGACGGAAACCAGCACGAGGAAGTGCCTGGAAGAGGAGAACGTGAAGTTGCAAAGGGCCCAGTATGAGCTGCAGAAAGCGAACAGCAGTGCGACCGAGACGATCGGCAAGCTGAAGGTTCAGGAGCAAGAGCTCACGCGCCTGAGGCTCGACTACGAGAGGGTCTCCCAGGAGAGGGCTGTGAGGGACCAGGACATCGTGCGGTTCCAGGGCTCTCTGAAGGACCTGCAGCTGCAGAAGCAGAAGGTGGAAGAGGAGCTGAGCCGGCTGAGGAGGGCCGCCTCAGAAGACTCGTCGAAAAGGAAGAAGCTGGAGGATGAGCTGGAAGGCATGAGGAGGTCTCTGAAGGAGCAGGCAATAAAAATCACCAGCCTGACGCAGCAGCTGGAGCAGGCGTCCATCGTCAAGAAACGCAGTGAGGACGACCTCCGGCAGCAGAGGGAAGTGCTGGACGGCCACCTGAGGGATAAGCAGAGGACCCAGGAGGAGCTCCGAAGGCTCTCCTCTGAGGTCGAGGCCCTGAGGCGGCAGTTGCTTCAGGAGCAGGAAAGTGTCAAACAGGCTCACCTGAGGAATGAGCATTTCCAGAAGGCGATAGAGGATAAGAGCAGAAGCTTGAATGAAAGCAAAATCGAAATCGAGAGGCTGCAGTGTCTCACAGAGAACCTGACCAAGGAGCACTTGATGCTGGAGGAAGAGCTTCGGAACCTGAGGCTGGAGTACGACGACCTCAGGAGGAGCCGGAGTGAGGCGGATAGTGACAAAAACACGACCATCTCTGAACTCAGGAGCCAGCTGCAGATCAGCAACAACCGGACCCTGGAACTGCAGGGGCTGATTAATGATTTACAGAGAGAGAGGGAAAATTTGAGACAGGAAATTGAGAAATTCCAAAAGCAGGCTTTAGAGGTATTCACAAATATTTGATCACAGCTTCCCTGTCTTTGAAATCCTTCACTCCACTTTCATCTCATCCCGGCTGTGCTCGGCTCCTGGGATTGGCTGCTCACAGACACTCTGCTTTTTCTGTTTATTGCTCTTCTGCTATCTGTTGTAACCCGGGCCACTGCTTTAAAGTGATCTCAGTGCTGTTTGCCCTTCTGTTCTCTCCCTGAGTCGATGCCAGTCTGTGCGGAACCTCTGTCTGGCCAGGCTTTTCAAACATCAGCAGGGGTACAACAGCTCAGAGTTTGTCTTCTGAATGTTCCACTCTATTTTCTAGAAGATAGCTTTTGCTTAGTGAGCTCTGACCTGCACTTTTCATGGAAATTTTTCTAAATAAAATCCATATCAAAGGGGTTTTCTATGCAATTTTAAAATCACTTTTTCTTTCTTGCTTACGTGATTTTTCTGCATGCATTATTCTATTCTCTTTTGATCATGACCCTCATAGGTTTCTTTTTGATTGTCTTTTCTTCTTTTAACCCCTAATTTAAAAATGCCTTCTTGAAGTTCTAATACATTTGACTTCTGTAGACAATATTTGTGTGGGGCTGGTTGTGGGGTGCATATATGTCCACAGATTTATTTTGCTTTATTAAACATGTTAGTATAGTTGTAACAGGTGGGATGTAGGTGTAGCAGGGGGACAAAACTCCCCATCTTTTTTTGAACCATAATCCCTATTAAGAACAAGAGAGGTCTACAACTTCTCCTAGTTCCTTCTAAAAAAAAAATAGTTAAGTATGAAGCCATTTATCAAAGTGGCAACATATATCTATGGAATTTTTTTTTCATGAATTTGTAAGATAAAATAGCAGCATAGCCAGGGAACACAGAGGAAGGGCAAATAAGTAAATAAGTTTTCTGGTTTTTTTTTAATGTAGAAGAGATTGAATTATGATCACCGTATGATACAGTCAAAACATTATTTCTTCCCATTTCTCTCTTTTTAAATTCCAGGCATCTAACAGGATTCAGGAATCAAAGAACCAGTGCACTCAGGTGGTGCAGGAAAGAGAGAGCCTTCTGGTGAAGATCAAAGTTCTGGAGCAGGACAAGAGCAGGCTGCAGAGGCTGGAGGATGAGCTCACTCGCCTGAAGACAACGCTGGAGGCGGAAAGCAGGCTGAAACAACGCCTGGAGTGTGAGAAACAGCAAATCCAGAATGACCTCAATCAGTGGAAAACCCAGTATTCCCGCAAGGAAGAGACCATTAGGAAGATCGAGTCGGAGAGAGAAAAAAGCGAGAGAGAGAAGAACAGCTTCAGGAGCGAGATGGAGAGACTGCAGGCAGAGATCAAGAGGATCGAGGAGCGGTACAGGCGCAAATTGGAGGATTCCACCCGGGAGACGCAGTCGCAGTTGGAAACAGAGCGCTCCCGCCTCCAGAGGGAAATTGACAAGCTCAAGCAGCGCCCCTACGGGTCCCATCGGGAGACCCAGACTGAGTACGAGTGGACCGTTGACTCCTCCAAGCTGGTGTTTGATGGACTGAGGAAGAAGGTGACGGCCATGCAGCTCTACGAGTGCCAGCTGATTGACAAAACAACCTTGGACAAGCTGTTGAAGGGGAAAAAGTCAGTGGAAGAAGTTGCCTCTGAAATCCAGCCTTTCCTTCGGGGTGCAGGAGCTATTGCTGGGGCATCTGCTTCCCCCAAGGAGAAGTACTCTCTGGTGGAGGCCAAGAGAAAGAAACTAATCACCCCAGAATCCACAGTCATGCTCCTGGAGGCCCAGGCAGCTACAGGGGGTATAATCGACCCCCACAGGAATGAGAAGCTGACTGTGGACAATGCAATCGCTCGGGACCTCATTGACTTCGATGACCGTCAGCAGATATACACCGCAGAGAAAGCTGTCACTGGTTTTGACGATCCGTTTTCGGGCAAGACAGTCTCGGTTTCGGAAGCCATCAAGAAAAATCTGATCGACAGAGAAACCGGAATGCGCCTGCTGGAGGCCCAGATTGCTTCAGGGGGTGTGGTGGACCCCGTGAATAGTGTCTTTCTGCCAAAAGATGTAGCGTTGGCCCGTGGGCTGATTGACAGAGATTTGTATCGGTCCCTGAATGATCCCCGAGATAGTCAGAAAAACTTTGTGGATCCAGTCACCAAAAAGAAAGTCAGTTACATGCAGCTGAGGGAACGGTGCAGAATCGAACCACACACTGGTCTGCTCTTGCTGTCAGTGCAGAAGAGAAGTATGTCCTTCCAAGGAATCAGACAACAGGTGACCGTCTCTGAGCTGGTAGATTCCGGTATATTGAGACCATCCACTGTAAATGAACTGGAATCAGGTCAGATTTCTTATGATGAGGTTGGTGAGAGAATTAAAGACTTCCTTCAGGGTTCAAGTTGCATAGCAGGCATATACAATGAGACCACGAAGCAGAAGCTTGGCATTTATGAGGCCATGAAAATTGGCTTGGTCCGACCTGGTACTGCTCTGGAGTTGCTGGAAGCCCAAGCAGCCACTGGCTTTATAGTGGATCCTGTTAGCAACTTGAGGTTACCGGTGGAGGAAGCCTACAAAAGAGGCCTGGTGGGCATTGAGTTCAAAGAGAAGCTCCTATCTGCAGAACGAGCGGTCACCGGGTATAATGATCCTGAAACAGGAAACATCATCTCTTTGTTCCAAGCCATGAACAAGGAACTCATTGAAAAGGGCCATGGCATTCGTTTATTGGAAGCGCAGATCGCGACAGGCGGGATCATAGACCCGAAGGAGAGCCATCGTTTGCCAGTTGACATGGCCTACAAGAGGGGCTACTTTAATGAGGAGCTCAGTGAGATTCTCTCAGATCCAAGTGATGATACGAAAGGATTTTTTGACCCCAACACAGAAGAAAATCTTACCTATCTGCAACTAAAAGAAAGATGTATCAAGGATGAGGAGACAGGGCTCTGTCTTCTGCCGCTGAAAGAAAAGAAGAAAGAGGTGCAGACATCACAAAAGAATACTCTCAGGAAGCGTAGAGTGGTCATCGTTGACCCAGAAACCAACAAGGAGATGTCTGTTCAGGAGGCCTACAAGAAGGGCCTGATAGATTATGAAACCTTCAGAGAACTGTGTGAGCAGGAGTGTGAGTGGGAAGAAATAACCATCACTGGGTCCGACGGCTCCACCAGGGTGGTCCTGGTAGATAGGAAGACAGGCAGTCAGTATGATATTCAAGACGCTATTGACAAGGGCCTCATTGACAGGAAGTTCTTTGATCAGTACCGATCCGGCAGCCTCAGCCTCACTCAGTTTGCTGATATGATCTCCTTGAAAAACGGTGTCGGTGGCAACAGCAGTGGTATAGGGGGTGGTGTCAGTGATGATGTGTTTAGCAACTCGCGACACGAGTCAGTAAGTAAGATTTCTACCATCTCCAGTGTCAGGAACATAACCATCAGGAGCAGCTCTCTGTCCGACCCCCTGGAAGAATCAAGCCCCATTGCAGCCATCTTTGACACAGAAAACCTAGAGAAGATCTCCATTACAGAAGGAATAGAGCGGGGCATTGTCGATAGCATCACTGGTCAGAGGCTTCTGGAGGCTCAGGCCTGCACGGGTGGCATCATCCACCCAACCAGCGGTCAGAAGCTGTCACTTCAGGACGCAGCCTCCCAGGGCCTGATTGACCAAGATATGGCCACCAGGCTGAAGCCCGCCCAGAAAGCCTTCATTGGCTTTGAAGGCGTGAAGGGAAAGAAGAAGATGTCAGCAGCAGAGGCAGTAAAAGAAAAATGGCTCCCCTATGAGGCAGGTCAGCGCTTCCTGGAGTTCCAGTACCTCACTGGAGGCCTTGTTGACCCGGAAGTGCATGGGAGGATAAGCACAGAAGAAGCCATCAGGAAGGGGTTCATCGATGGCAGAGCAGCTCAGAGGCTGCAAGACACCAGTAGCTATGCCAAAATCCTGACCTGCCCCAAAACCAAGTTAAAAATATCCTATAAGGATGCCATGAATCGCTCCATGGTGGAAGATATCACTGGCCTTCGCCTTCTGGAGGCTGCCTCTGTTTCATCTAAGGGCTTGCCTAGCCCTTATAACATGTCTTCTGCCCCAGGTTCCCGCTCAGGATCCCGCTCCGGCTCTCGCTCTGGATCCCGCTCCGGCTCTCGCTCTGGTTCCCGCAGTGGGTCCCGGAGAGGAAGCTTTGATGCAACCGGGAATTCTTCCTACTCTTACTCCTACTCCTTTAGCAGTAGCTCTATTGGGCACTAGTAGTCAGTTAGTTGCTATTTCCTTGGCTTCATTTATGTGAATTTTCACTTTACTAAATACTTTACTAAAAGAAAACCTAGTGCTTGCAGTATAGTGATAGAGCTTTCTATGATTAAGAAGACATAACCTTGGTTGAAATCAAATAGTAAAGTCTATTCTGGCTTTTTATCTTCTTAGCTCACCCGAAGTACGTAACACACTGGATGTAGTGTGTATGAAGTGACAATCAGTTGTAAGGATAGCACAAATTGAATCTAGAGTTTGTTCCTTCTGTGTTTAGATTTTTGATCGATTCTTGTACTTCTTTTGGCCTATAATACAGATTTCTGTTCTTGGAGATGAAATTAAGTTGATCATGGATACTTTAGTCATCATTCTGTTTTTCATCTAAATATTTCCATTTTCTGTATTAGGAGAAAATTCTCTCTCCCATTCTCCCTAGAATACTCCACCCCAAACCCAAACATTTTGGAATGAGTCTCCTTTAGTTTTAGATTGTGGATTGTGTAACCTATATATTCTTACATGCACCTGTTTGGTTCAGCATTAATTTGACTATATGTGAGTGATAGCAGCAATCTTTGCTTCTCTTTGGTCAAAGTTTTCTGTTTATTTTGCTTGTCATTTACTATGTACTTTAAAAAGGTGTCTTTATGAAGTTTGCTATTCTGGCAATAAACTTTTCGACTTTTCAAGTTTTTGCGTTTTGATTTCATATGTTTATACACACAAGGTAGTTATCAGCATCTTTCTGTTAATTGTACAATATGTCTAAAACCTTCTGTTTACTAAGTACCTATTAGGACCATTAAAAAAAAAAAAATTTAGTCCCGAATTCTTGCTAGAAGTTGGTCTTTTGTAGTTTCTCCAACATTTCTCAAGTGCCGATTGTATGCAGAGTCCTTGGAAAGAAGCCTGTGTCCAGGCCACGGGTCAATACCCAGTTCTTGTTTATTCTGGACAATAAGTTCTAAGGAGCATGGGCAAAAGTCACCACAATACCATTAGAAAAAAAAAAGAAGTGGCTCAGATTCCATTCGGGTAGTCTCCAAATATGTGGGGTTTCATTTTGTCCCCTAAGAGGAAAGAATTGTCCTTGAACCTATAAAAACGAGTCCTGAAGAAGTCTTGGCTCTCTGTTGAAGGACAATGAGATCTAAGCCTATTCTTTGTATCAAAGAGAAACTTTTGAAATTCAGACATTTGTCATTAAATCAACATGACCTTACTGAATACTTATTATGTCTAGTATTAGGCTAGGTACTATGAGGATTCAACAGAATTTACAAGCCCCCTGACTTCGAGACATTTGCAGCCTGGGTGGGGACAAGAGATACATATAAAGCAATCAGAGGGACAGCTTTCATATATCAGCAATATGTGTTAATATACTCAAACATTTTATAGCATAGATTGGAAAATAGGCAAACAAATGAGATGCTAATTGTGAAGAACAAAAAAGATCATATGTAAGAGAATACTTAAATTGTTGGGGGCTTTTGGGACTTTGGGTGAAAACAGCATTCATTTCCTCCTTGTCCTACCTCCTTTTCTTCTTGCTCCCCTCCCAAGCTAGAGGACTTGTAATTAACTTCATTCACTAAGTATTGAGTTCTGTGTGCTACACATTGTTCCAGAAGCTATGAATCCCATGGTAGAAACAATGTACAAAAATAGCCCTTGTAATATAAAAGGAAGAGAAAAATATGTGGTAAATGCTGTGTTGGGCAAAATGAAGGAAGATCTTCATGCTGGAGCTAGGAGACTGTATCAGTCAGCTTGGGCTGCCATAACAAGATGCCACAGACTACGTGACTTAAATTCATTTTCTCATAGTTGCGGAGGCTAGAAGTCCAAGGTAGAAGTGTTCTTAGGTTGGTTGCTGGTAAAAGCTCTCTTTCTGGATGGTAGGCAGTAAAGAGTAGGGAAGGAGCTCTGGTATGTCTTCCTTGTCTTAGAAAGACTTTTAATAATTTTATCACGTAAGAGCCCCATCTTTATGACCTCATTTAACTTTAATTACCTCCTTATAGTCCTTATCTCTAAATATAGTCACATTGGGGGTTAGGGCTCCCAATATATGAATTGGGGTGGGGATGGGGATGGCACACAATTCAGCCTGTAATAGGGGCCTAATCTAGAATGGGTCAGAAGTTCTCCAGAAAAATGGTGATTAAACAGATGAATAAGGGGCACCTGGGTGGCTCAGCTGGTTAAGCATCTGCCTTCAGCTCAGGTCATGATCCCGGGGTCCAGGGATCCAGCCCCACATCGGGCTCCTTGCTCAGCCGGCAGCCTGCTTCTCCCTCTCCCACTCCCCCTGCTTGTGCGTGCCCTCTCTCTTTCTCTGTCAAATAAATAAATAAAATCTTTAAAAAAATAAAAAATAGATTAATAAGCATCAGTGTAAAGCAGTTCTTCAGGTTGAAAGAGTATACCTTCAGGCTGTTGCCAAAGTTGTCATTAAGCTCTGAGGTGGGATAGGCTGTGTCCTGGAGAGAGGACATCCTTGACCTTGGCTAGTTTTGATTGGGTTCACCTACAGCACGCCTCCACAGAAAGTTATATATGTATATATTTTTCAATGGAAATCATCATTTCACATCCAAAAAGTCTCACATTTTCTAGACAGCTGCTGGGCTAACCATGTAAATGCAGATAAAAAGTAGGGATGTTGTGGGCAGAGTATAACTAAACCGGAACTCATCCCTTACCGCACAGCTGCTTGCAGCTATTGGCCTATTTCTGTATATCGGGGGTACTATTTTTGGGCTTATTTATACTCATCACTTTTTTTTATGTGAGAGAATTGTACTATCTGCCTATGGAAATAGCTATTCACAAAAATTCCGTCCACAGTTTCATCTGATAGAAACAAGCACAAAAGGAAGCAAAGATTTGGCATCAGGCTTGAAAAAAGTAAAAATAAATAATATAAGAGGGATTGGGTTCTGGGAGTTAAAACCACTTGGGGAAATTAAAAGGGCTGATTCCAGGTCTTGGATAGGAAAATGTACAAAGTAAGCTTGGGTTAATCAAGGAAAAGGAAGTACTCAAGGACTAATGGGACGTGTCATAGAGACACAAAGTGGTTTAAGTGGCTTCCACTGGTCAAATTTGGGAAAATTGGAGCATCAACAAGAATTATGATGGTAATGGAGTATGTAATAATGAATTTATTTATTTTTTAAAGGTTTTTATTTATTTATTTGAGAGAGAGAGAGAGCATGAGCAGGGAGGATGGGCAGAGGGAGAAGCAAACTCCCTGCTGAGCAGAGAGCCCGATGCAGGACTGGATCCCAGGACCCCAGGATCATGACCTGAGCCAAAGGCAGATGCTTAACTGACTGAGCCACTCAGGTGCTCTGTAATAATTAATTTTAAAACCTTATATCAGTAATAATTTTTAAAATATTTAAATATTAAAATAAAATTTTAAAATCCCTTGATTCCATAGTGAACAACAAAATGAAGGTATACTAAGAATGCCAGTTAACAAATATAGAAGCCATGACAGTATTAGAGAGTCATCATTTATAACTCCTAACATGACAGATTCACTTCACTGAAGGATTGTGTGAGTTTTTTGGGGAACAGGACATTCATATGGTCTCAAAGTATCATCCCACAGAGGGAAATGTCATACAGCGGAGTGATATAACCATCTACCTTTACCAAATGATCAAATTTAGCATTACTAATAGAAGGAGAATTTAAGATATGTGTTCTGTATGAGATGTAATAAAGAGTCACACACATCTCATTGCAAAAATGCTTGAACAAAACCTAATCATAAGGGGGAAATCTGATAAATCTAGAAAGAGGAACATTCTACAAGACAACTGGCTGCAGCTCCCAACAAAATTCAGTGACTTAATTTGAAGAGGGTGGGGTGACCGTTCCAGGTTAAAAGAGACAATAGCCAATTACAGCTCATGGTTTGAAAAAAACTAATGAAATGGCTATGAAAGGAATTTGGGGGACAACTGGGGAAATTTGAATATAAACTGAACATTGGAAGATATTATGAAATTATGAATTCTCTTAGATTTGACCATGTATGGTAGTTATGTGGGACAATGTTTTTATTCTCAGGAGATGCATACAGACATATTCGGGGGTTGAAGCAGCTGCAACTGACTTTCAAATAATTCTGCAAAAATAAGTATGTGGGGCTCTGTGTGTATGTGTGTGTGTGTGTGGAGAGGGCGAGAGAAAGCAAACATGGGCAAATGTTAACAATTAATGAGCTGGAGGATGGTTATGCAAATGCTCGTTGTACTACTCTTTAAACTCTTCTGTAGACATAAACCATTTTTAAAAAACAGTTCAGCTTTTTAATGAACATGTTTAAAGGCGTTTAGTCAAAAAGACGAAAGCCCACGTCACCATCAGACTCCTCGGATTCTTCGTTCTTTGCTTCCACGTTCTTCTCCGCAGCGGCAGCAGTGGTGGACCGGGCAGGACCTTGGCTGGTGCAGCGCGAACCGCTGGGGCAGGTCCACCAGCCCCTCCGTTGAGATGAGGCTCCCCATGCTGACACTGGCCGGCGCCTTTCCAAAGAAGGCTGGCCAGAAAGGTTCAACATTTAATGAGGTCACTGATCTTCTCCTCCGTGACCGCCACCTCATCGTCGTGCAGCATGAGGGCCGAGGAGATGCAGGCGAGCTCCGAGGTGGGGGCCACGGTGCGGGCAAGTGCCCTGCGGGAGCTGCCAAAACTCGGTGCTAGCCGCCGTTTGAACACCTCATCCTAACGTGGCCTAGCTTCATCGGAAGGACCGAGCATCTTAGCGGCAGCTGACGAAAGGGCGATATAAACCATTTTTTAAAAAAGTTGTGGGGACGGGAGGGAACGCAGTTCAGGGAAGCCCAGGCGCAAACGCACCGGGGAGCACTGGCGCCAGCAGCGACTCACGGAAGACACCCAGAACACCTCTCAAAATGACAGCTCCCGCCCTTCCGGGGCCTTTCCCTATAGGTGGTTCCAGTCACGTGGCGGCCTGGTCCCGCCCAGAGCTCCCAGAGGCCCGCGCGCGGCGCCGGCAGTTCGGCTGCTTACCTCTGGCTGTTCGGGCGCGGCCATGGAGGGCGAGCCGCCTCCGGTGGAGGAACGGCGGCGGCTGCAGCAGGAGCTTAGCGAGTTCGTGGAGAGCTGCTGCCGGACGCTGGAGGAGGTGACGGCGTCCCTGGGCTGGAGCCTGGATCGTCTGGACCCCGGGGAGGAGGCGGCAGAGGTGAGGGGGGGCTTGCGCGCCGGGTCCTTTCGGGGGCCCTCAGCCTGCGGTCTTCTGTGGCGGGGGAGAAGTCCGCGTGGGAGCCCCCGCCCGTGTGCAGAGCCGTGGTGGGCGCCCGGGCCCCGGCCTGTGCTCCCTTGACGCCTGCGGGCCTCGGGTGGGGCGCGCGGGGGGCCTTCGACGCCTCGGCGCCGACCGCTCGTGCGGCGCTCCTTCCGCGGGACTTCGGTTCGAAGAGAAGGTAAAACTGCGGTGGGTGAGGAGGGGTGGCAGGCCTGGGGTTTCTGTAGAAAGTAGGTGAATCGGCCTCAGAGTGCTGCTGGCAGAGGCATTGCCCGTTTGCTTTGTCATCTGTCACATGGGTGCAGCAGTTGCACCAGATTCGGCGTCAAGAGAGCTTGGGAGTTGAGGTCTCCTTTTTCTGCCTTAAAATTCTACACTTCTGACGGGGACAGCATCGATTCTAGGATTATTAGAGGGTATCACTAAGAGATGGTGACTAACAACTCTCTTGAACATGAGAATTGCTTTAAGAAAATGTAGGTAGGTGTATTAGAGAGAACAATCCTGATTTTTTTGGGTTTGTTTTTCTGGGGGGATGGGAGGAAGAGAAGCGCTTCAGTGGGGGATAATCCATGATCTCTAATGCTCTTTCTGGGTTCATCACGCTGTAATAATTTCTCCCAGGTTTAAATTACGTGCCCGATTCCCCGAAGACACCTAAGGCATGTTTGGCTTATACACAAACAATTCACATTTATTGTATTAAAGGCATCGTGGAAATTTTAAAATTTGTTTAGAGTGGTGTTTGAAGCTGTGCATTCCATTGAGTGGGGCCTGCCATGCCCTTAACACTGTTCGCTCAGCATCGTAGTAACCTGAAATTTCTTGTATTAACGCTCAAATAGCACTTTGCTTATGCCACTTACTATACCTTAGTTACCTCGTTTAATACATATAAGTACCGTATGAGTACTGTTAGCCACATTTTATAAATGAGAAAACCCAGAGAGGTGGTGATTTGTCCAAGGACACACTGCTCGTAAATTGCAGTTGGGATTTTGAACCCAGGCAGTCTGGCTCCTGAGAATCTCTTTGTTTAATAGCTATGCTGCCTCTCTAAAATCTCTTTGTAAAATCCCAAAATTATGGCAAGTAGCTGTGAGCGTACATCAAAATGTTACAGAACCAACGTCTGATATTCAAGAGAGTGACTAGTTTAAAAGCCCCGGTTCGTGACATCCATCATTCCTGGAATAGGTGCAGTCCACATAGTTAATGAAGCCTTGCTTTTCTGCTAGAGTGTTCTAATACTGAAGTTTAGTGAACAGCCGTCACAGGTTCTAACACAGAGCTTGCCATCTGGTCGTAGTTGAGGGGAAATCCAGAGAAATCAGCCTACATTATAATGTGATAAATTCTATGAAGGGTGGAATAGCTGTTTATGATAGGCTGTGGTTAGGACAGTAGAGGTTTCCTGGATAAAGTGAATTCTAAGCTGGTAACAGTGGCTGAATTAGCTAGGTGAAGCACAGAGGAAGCATCAGCGGTAGGGGAAGTCCATAGAAAAGGGTGTGACCAGATCAGGAAACCTAAGGTGGTTAAGGATAGATGGCTAAGCGTAGGCTATAGAGAAGAAGGGGAATGATGGTGCGAAGGATCCAGACCTTAAAGGTCCTGTGTCAGCCATGTTAAAGAATCTGGATTTTTTTTTGTTGTTTAAATGAGGGCAGTGGGGAAGCACGGAAGTATTTTAAGCCAGGCTATCATATTTGCCTTTTAATAAACTATTAATTGATTACATTTGAACACTTGCTATGTACCAGGCCCTGTTTGAATTGCTTTATGTGTATATACTCATGTATAATTTATTTAATCCTCACAATAGCTCTGTGAGAGAAGTCCTATTATACCCATTTCATAGATGAGGAAACTGAGGCAAAGAAAGGTAAAATACCTTGACCAAGTTCATATAGTAAGTGGCGGACCTGGGATTCAGAGTAGCCACAGAGTGGAGAATGGGAAGGACAACAGGTCTGGAAGCAGAGCAGTTAGGCAATGGCTGTTGTAATCCAGAACGATGCTGATGTCTCCAAGTGGGGAAGTAACAGTGAGGATGGGTTATGTGGAGGGATTTCAGAGTTACTTAGGAGTAAAAAGACCTGGGTAAATTATTAGATGTCAATGACAAGGAAGAAGAGGTGATATTCTGTGTGAGGAAATGGGACCTTTTATTGAAACGGGGAGACATAAGAGGAACATGTTTGGGGTCAGGAGACCATGAATATAATGAATTTATTTTTGTTATATTGAATTGTTAATGTTTTTAGTATAAGGTACTCAAAAGAGAACAAGGTCTAAAGATCTAGATTTTGGGAACCATTACTCCATAGTGAAAATTAAAGCCATGAGATTTTCCAGCAGGTGTATATCAAATGGCAAAAGGTCACTGGTTTGACTTATGTGAAGCATCAACATTTAAAGGGGTAGAGGTAGAACAAGGAAGACATCTTGAGAGAAGACCGAGTAGAAGAACTAGAGAGGTAGAACATGAAGACAGTATCCGGATGACAGAAATGGGCAATTGGATTGTGACCTTAGAAGAGTTCAAATGTTTTAAAGAGTCTGACATGTGCTTTGACACATCTTCTTTAGCAAGAAGATTGTTGGTGATCTACTGACTGGTAGTTTGTAAACAAATCTTTTAAAGTGTTGGGCTTTGAAGAGGTGGAGAGGGGACTATAAAGGAGAGAGAGATTGAGGGAGGTTTTTTGTTTTTGTTTTGTTTTTTTAATTTGCACGTACATCACACAGGGGGTTGGGAAAGAGGCTTCCAGAAGAGGAGATAAATGGATAGTACTACTTAATCAAGTAGTAAACATTTAATGGTGTAATCATTTGAATATTATGTTCCCATGGGGTGCCTGGGTGGCTCAGTTGGTTAAGTGTCCGACTCTTGGTTTTGCTTCAGCTCAGGATCTCATGGGTCGTGGGGTCCAGCCCCACCTGGGTTCAGGGCTCAGCAGGGAGTTCACTTGAGATTCTCTCCCTCTGCCCTGCACATGTGCTGTCTTTCTCTCTCTCTCAAATAAATAAATCTTTAAAAAAAAAAGTGTTTCTTTTTTCTTTGCTTCTCTTTCTTTTTTATAGGATGAAGTTGTGATATGTCCCTATGATTCCAATCATCACATGCCTAAATCATCTTTAGCAAAGCACATGGTGTCTTGTAGATTGAGGAAACTGGGCTATACCAAAGAAGAAGAGGTACCATATATTTATTATGTATATGTCATGTAATTCATGCATGAATAAATTCAGAATATTTGGAAGTATAGTGTAAAGTTTTCTGACATAAAATACTAGTCATTTGTGAGGTAGAATGGTATTTGCCTAATTGCGCAAATTTTTGTAGGAAATATGTAAGTGATAGTAATCTCTTGTTGGTTCATGTCAAATCTTAAAATAGTCAATTATTGGTTACTCACAAATACTAACTTTTTTGTTTTTACTGTTTAGGATCAAATGTATAATTCTGATTTTTTCTATGAGAATGTGAAGATACCCTCAATTACTTTGAGTAAGTATTAATTTAATAGATTATAATTTAAAAACAGTATAGGCATTGATATTTCATTTTTGAATTATCAAAAGAATGGACTTTATAGTGTGCTTGTGATTAAGGAAGACATTTCATACCTTAAGAGAATGTAGGATTAATTAATGTACAGTGAAACTAGTTTGCTTAATCTGGAATTTAGAGACCAGGCTTATATTAATAGGCAGTGAAAACCCTCCAAAGCTTTGTACAGTAAAACAGATACCTTCTTTCTTGAATATAACAAAAATCTGGCCACACAACACAGTTTGCAAACTGAGGATGGAAATGTGTTCCAAGTGTTCACAGCATATGTGGAGGTTAAAATTCCAGGCTCTGGAATCAGTGCCCTGTTTCAACTCCTGGTTTTGTCACTAGTAGATTTGTGACTTTCAGCAAGTAATTACACCTTTTTTTTTTTTTTTAAGATTTTATTTATTTATTTGAGAGAGCGAGAATGAGAGAGAGAGAGAGTACATGAGGGGGGGAGGGTCAGAGGGAGAAGCAGGCTCCCTGCTGAGCAGGGAGCCCGATGTGGGACTCGATCCCAGGACTCCGGGATCATGACCTGAGCCGAAGGCAGTCGCCTTAACCAACTGAGCCACCCAGGCGCCCGTAATTACACCTTTTTGTTGCTTAAATTTCTTCATAAAATGGGGAATGATGATAATAGCACCTTTGTGAGGATTAAATGATATAGTATATGTAAAATGCTTAGAATAGTCCCTGATACTTTAAGCTGGATTCAAAACATGGTAGCTGTTATTAGTTGCTAAAATCTGCAGCAGCTACTGCAACATGCCTGATGATAATGTTTTCTAAACTACCTGAAATCTAGTTACTTATTGGATTCTAGCTAGATCTGAAAGAATTCTGCATTCAGATTACCTAGACAGCAATGTAGGTTTTTTCCACTTTTCAGATTCTGGAGGTTTGTCAGTGTGCCCAGAGAGCTGGAATTGGAAACAAGTTAATAATTTGATTTGTGGACACTGATGATTCATGTTGTGTTTATGGGTGCTTTTTTTGACAGATAAGGACTCACAATTCCAGATAATTAAACAGGCTAGAACTGCAGTTGGAAAAGATGGTGATTGTTATAGTCAAAGTAAGTGGCATCATAGTTTGAGCTAATTAATGATTTAAACTATTTTTGTCCCATAAGCATTTGTTACTAATTTTTAAGAAAAATCTTGTGGAAACAGTTGCATGGGAAAAGTTACATTTTATATTTAACATTAGACTGATGTGTTTGGTGTCAGCTTCATTTGGTAGATATTTTCTGCTCAAATACAGCAGAGATTCTTTCTTCATAGCTCTTTTATGTATTCATTTTTCTTTCATAAAGCACTGACATAGGCTGGACAACTATTTTCCCTTCCATATTAGGTGAAGAAATAGAGGCACACAAAAATGAATTAACACTTCTTTGCTAGATAATAGCAAGGTTTGGTAATAGCCACGCTGGATTGAGAACCAAGTTTTGGATTTGGTCATACTCTGAACTGAGTTATTCTGTTTTCTGATAGAAACTACATTTAAGTGGAATTTATGGACTAGGAATCACTGATGAAATATATTCATTATTTATTATCTCTGTTATAATTAAGTCGAAGAATACCACAAACTTCAAATTTGTACCTACTCACTGCTTGCTATTATTAGTCCTGTTCTTTGTTCTGGTTTGTGTAAGCCTCCTCTACAGAAAGAAACTAGTTGCTTGGCCTGGTACAAATGACAGTTTTTCTGAGGGGTTTTGTTTCCTTGTCTGTAGTATAAAACTGTCTTGTAGTGTTTGGGATGTCGGAGATAATTAATGCTAACCTAGCCCGGGCTCTAATAATTGGCTACTTATGTCTAAGCAATTTAATTTCTAAGCACGTTAATGGATAGAAGGCAATATAAAGATAATGAAATTGGTGAGAATTTTATATATATAATTTAGAGAATGTTCTCAAGTTTTTTTTTTTATTTATATGACTAAGTAATAAGGTAGATTTGGACCTTGAGTTTAGTTCTTTACAAAAGCAAAGAATTACTTTGAATAGTTCTTTCAGTAGAAAGTTAAGAGGAACTTTTGTTTTGTTTTGGCACTCTCTTAAATTAAGATTTGCCTTGAGAATTTTATGATCTGTGCCCCTCTTTTTAAAACATTTTTTCATCTTGTATAGAGTTCTGCAGTTTCTCAATGGACCTTATTTTTGTGGCCCATTTTTGTCTAGACATTTTAAGATCTTACAGCCCAGAACAAGAATCTCTTTTAATATCTTACTGATTTATTTACTTTGAAGGAAGAATGACTAACATGAGCAATTTACATGTTCCCATTTAATTAATATTTTGTTTGTCATGTACTAAATTATAAGTTTTTTGATGAGTTATATTTATGTTTCCATTTCATCATTCATACCAGGTCTCCACTCAGTGTATAGAAGTCTCAATTCATTAATCTTTGTGAAAGCTTGAAACAACCATTAGATCTACTTACTTATTTTCAGATATAATTACCTTGGTTAATTTTATAACCAAGATGCTAATTTTAATCATAAACAGTCATTTTATATTTAGTGGTTTATCTTTTTCCTTCAGTATTATTTGCTGTACTTCAGTTTCATGACATATATTTGAATCATGGCCATGATTTGAAGACCAGTGCATTATACTAAAGAACCCTCAAGAGACCCAAGTAGAATGGTTCTAGGCCTAATCTGTTCCTACCACTTGTGAGACTTGGGCAAGTCATTTTTACCTCTATGGGCCTTAATTTCTTTTTCTGTGTTGTTTGGAAATTGACTCTGTATGAATTCTCTGTAAAATTCTGAATTTGTAGCTTTGAACCAGTACTTTTTGTGAATATTTAATATTATAGGTCATATGTTTAAGATGCTCTGTCGTGGCAAAAGTGACTAAAAAGAAAGGATTAGAGTTACTAAAAAGCTAGATTAGAGTTTCAGTTTGGGTGATGAAAAAGTTCTGGAGATGGAAAGAGGTGATGGTTGCAAAACACTGTAAGGTACTTAATGCCACTGAGCTGTACACTTAAAAATGGTTAAATGGTACATTTTATGTAATGTATATTTTACCACAGTTTTAAAAAAGCTACTACAAAGAAAGTAGAGGATCACAGAATTTAATATGATTACAGCACATTCAGATATACTTTTAAATCATATAGAAGCTTATGTTTGAAAATTTACTTTTTATGGTAATGTCAGCTTATTTGTGTTTATCCTTTTTTTTTGTCAGAAATATCTATGTTTTCAATGATTTGAATGCAGTTTGTTGTTTAACTTTTCCTGTACTTTTTCTTTTTCAGTAATTGGGGTGAGTATAAAGAGGAATTAGGAACCTGAATATACTCCTTATTTAAAGATATGCAGTATCCTTTTTGCAAATGATATCCTTTTAAAAGTATCACTCAGATTTCTAAACTTCATCTTAACCACTGTCACAATATTATAGTCTTTGGAATTTTAGTTGAATTTCAAGGAATTTAAGTATCAATCTTCACCATACAGAAATTTAAGATGAATAAAGACAACTCCAGAATATTTTAAGGAGGAAATTATATTTTTTTGTCTAAAAGTAACAGGCAGAGGTTTATGTGGAGCTTGTTTATGATGTATCAGTGTTTTCTAATCTTTATATTTTTCTCCCAGCTTTTTATAGCCTATATTCAAAGGAATTAGGCTTGTCAAAGCTAACTCATTTTTATAGTACAAAGTTAAATGTTTTAATACCTGCCTGCCTAAAAAGGCTTTTCCTACTGTCTACTAGAATTAGAGTAAAATTGATTGACTTGAAAGGAAGCCTTCTCCACTAATTCAGAACCCTTTGACTAATACAGATGACCATGTATTGTTATCCATGGCTATTCACAAACTCATATTCATTGTGGCACTCCTCTTAATTTGTAGACAAATGTAAAGTCATCTCTTTTTTTGTGTTGTAGTGCTTAGTTCATAGTTTACTCTTATTTTAATTTTTCTTTTGCCTCTTTACCTAGGAAGTCAATGAGGTTAGATTTATCAAATAAAAGTATCTGGGAAGAGCTACTGATCTTATCTTGTTCTGTGAACCAGAGTTATTACTTTAGGGTAACCTAGGAAACATTAGTAGTTCCTGTTCATTGTTTGCATCAGTGAATAATGAAGGCTAGAAAGAATTGTTTTAAAACAATTGCTTTATTTACAGTTACAGTAATTTTTTTATTTCTTTGAGAAAATTTGAATCTCAAAACAAAAATTTTCTTCAGTGTTTAATAAACATCATATCAAGGTATTGTATTTACTTTCTTTCATTAATGAGCAGATTTTAGAAAGTTCTATGACTTTTGGGGGGGCACTCCTATTAACTTCTTTAAAATTAATTTGGTTATGCCAAAATGCTTCTTCAGAAAATTAAAAATTTAGTCTCAGTTTAATCTATCTCTGGTCTGGGAAAGTTTGGGGTTTCTGCTATTTAAGTAATTGTGTTTTGGTCCCTAGCTCTGAGTCATTGTACAGTGGGATATATTTTGAATAATGAACACCTAACTTGATGTCTCATATAAAAAAGACATTTTTTACACATTTTTCATATTTCCATAATTTATTTTCAGAGGGACTACAATGTGTATTACCTATTGAAAGCATTTTCCCCCCAGCTTTTATGGGGAAAAGCATATAAACAGAAAGAAAATTAATAATCTACTTCTATAATATTGGTAGCCTTTTAAAAATTGTTGCCCAGAATGTTTTCTTATGAGCAAATTATCTCATGGTTATTACTGCCTGCCTTCATGGGATCTGTCCTAACGTTGGAGAAGATAGTAAACATCCACAATACATCCTTTCTGTGGATATAGCATTGAGGATAAAGTCACTGTTTACCATTTATCACATAGATGGATATTTTGTATATTAAGGGATTACTATGAAAACACTTGTGTTAATGTTGCATTATTACAGCACATGTTTAAAGATAAGGAGATTTTAAGTCCACAGTGCTTCATGTATTTTTTATTCTTGTGGTTTTATTTTTACTTTAGGGATTTATTCTTCATTACCTGTTGAAGTTCCTCTGAATCACAAACGGTGTGTTTGTGATTTAACCCAAGCTGATCGTCTCGCCCTCTATGATTTTGTAATGGAAGAGACGAAGAAAAAGCGCTCTGATTCACAGATTATTGAAAATGACAGTGATCTCTTTGTAGACTTGGCTGCCAAAGTCAATCAAGGTTTGAGACGAATATCATAGTTTTATATTTCTTAATTGTCATTTCATTCTTTGTGTGTTACTAAGATTTAGTTGTCAGACCACTTTGAATTGGAATAGGATGGTTTTGCATTATCTGATATTCACATACATGTTAAGATATTTACTCCGTGCATGAAATTTTGCTCTCTGACTTTTACATTAAGCATACCTTCCTTCTGTAAGATTGTTACAGCTGTGCTGGTCCTTTAATCTTTGTACTTTAACAATCTTAGGTTCAACTAATGGCTAGAGAAAAGGAATGATATAAAACAGCCTATTTCTATAATATAGAATTTTTAGGATGTTTTTAGATGCATGGAAACATGTTGAAATATGGGATGATTGTGGTCTTTCTTCCTGCTAATTCATAAGAATTTAAAAGCTTCCAAGGATATGATAATTTAATTTTATTCTTTTATTAGATAATAGTCAAAAAAGTCCAAAAACTTACCTTGAAATCCTGGCAGAAGTGAGAGATTATAAAAGAAGACGCCAGTCCTATAGAGCTAAGAATGTTCATATAACCAAGAAATCATATACTGAGGTAAGTTTTATATAATCTTTTAGAGCTTTGTTGAGAACAGAAATTTCCCTTAGATAGTTTTCTAAATCTGCTGTATGGATTTCCACAGTCCCTTAGAGGTTATCTAAAAGAAAGTATCTTCAAGGCGGCCACACCTGATTTGTATTTGCTCCATTCCTTTCAGGTCCACTGTGCCAGGCAAAGGCTTTTCAGGGGACAAAAATCTTATGTAAAGAGGCTGTACAATCTTAAAAAAATACCTGCTTTTGAGAAAGTAGCATTATGTCATGATAAAAGCATAGATTTTGGCCTTAGACCTGTGTTAGAGTTTTGAAACTGCTGTTTATCATTGGCTCTTTGACTTGAACAACTTATTTGAGCATTTTAAGTATCAACATTTTTCATTTTATACATTTTATGTAGACTTGGTAGGGTTCTTGTAAGAATTGACTGAGAATGCATGTGGGCACAGAAATTGGTCAACAAATAGCCTTTGTCTTTTCCTTACAGAAGTTTTAGCATGCTTTTATGTACTCTTAAATATTTGGGCTTAAAAAATATCTGGCATAAATTATTTATACATTAATCTCTTGATCTATATCTAGACTTATTTTCAGACTTCCTTTAGTGGATAGAGCTGATGAATTTTTTGGTACATGAATTACCTTGCCCAGACTCTACAAGTAATTTCCTCATTGAATCTCTAAATTCTTACCACATTATTTTTTTACTTCTCTCTATGATTTCTAAGACTGTCCATAATCTGGCTTCATTTTATCAGATATTTTCTTTTGGTTTAGTCAAGTATCTCTCTTAAACTATATCTGATTACACACATTTACTGTTGTCTTTGTATCCAAATGACACGTTGTTTGCTCACCTGAAGATGCTCTTTGTCGTTTCTCTTTTAAATCTTGATAAGTTTAAGGCCCACTGTCTCCATGAGGGGCTAGTTGACCCAGCCATTCGCTGGTTGATTGCTTTTATGCTCTCTCTACCACATAGCTTAGTACTTAAATCTTATGCTGTTCTTTTTACAATTCAAGTATATGTTCTAGACTTAACTCTTCCAGTAGAGGATGGGGACCATGTCATAACTACCTAAGTATTCTTACAGTCCCTCAAATACTTGATGGTTCATCAGTTGTTTCTTCTCTAGTTTCATTACCTTGTAAGCAAGTGTAAGTGTTGCTGCTAGTGTTCTTCACAATTTTATGGTTAAGTTTTTATTATGGAAATATTCAAACATGTACTAAAGTGAATGGAATAGTCTAATGAACCCTTTTGTCCCTGTCACTCAGCCTCAACAATTATCAACATATGGCTTTGTCATTTTATTTATATTTGCACTACCTCCTACTTTCTCCTTCCTCCACACTGATAATTTTGGAAGCAGATGAGAAATACCTTTCATCTGTAAAAACTCCAGTGTTAACAAATCTTTCAGTGATTTATCATATTTCTGGTCATGGCTTTTTCAACGTCTTATCTCTTTCTAGCTTCATTCATATCCTCTATAATTTTTGTTTGCTTTGGACTGTAGAACCTAAACTTTGTCAAATTTTAGAAAAACATTTTTACCTTCTATACTTACTATGCATAACACTGCTGTTGGGTAGGTAAAGATAAATGGCACACAGCCCCCACCCACGAGGAGCTTACGTATAGTTTAACAAGGGAAACATCTTTCAAAATACAGATTGCATTAAGTGCTAAAATAAAGTGAGATCAAAATATGTGGGAGAAAGCGATTCTTTTTAAAAGATAAGATTGGTATAGGCTTTATAGAGAAGATAGCATTCGAAGGAAAGGGAGAAGCAGGAACGGTAAAGAATGTCTGTTTGCAGGCTCCTTCCGGTGTGGTGACCCTGCAACTGTGCAGTAACATTCGGGCCTCGTGGCGCTCATGTAGAGCTACTGCTAGTCTGGAGTCGTTTTGGGCCACTCTGGAAGTGCTAGAGCTGAGAGTGGGAATTTCGGTGTGTGTGTGACTCAATTCACTGTCTTAGATTTTCACGAGAGAATATGGTAGAGAAGGGGAAGTGGTGGATAAGGGTATTCCAGGTCGAAGGGCTAGTGTTCCTAAAAATATATAAAAGTGCCGTTTTCCAGAGACCCGTCAGTAATGCAGGGTGCCTAGAGCTTAAGGTTTTTGAACTATCCAATAAGAGATAAGGCTGCTTTCAATGACGTGATGTAGTAAAATCATGAAAGCCTTCAAAGGCTCTATTAAGGATTTTGGACGTTTTTCCATTTTACTTTGGGAGCCATTGAAAGTTTCCTTAAAGCCGTTGAAAGTTTCCTTTCTCTTGAGGGAGAAACTCAAAAAAAAAAAAAAATGGGGAGAAACTCAGCCCTGAACTATATAGTGTGTGTCTTTGAGATTGCCCCTTGTCCCCCATACCTACTGTCTATCTGTCTATCATTTATCTAGCTCTCTGAGAGAGATCACAAGCGGGGGGGCAGGGGGTGGGCAGAGGGAGAAGCAGACTCGCCACCGAGCAGGGAGCCCGATGCGGGACGCGATCCCAGGACCCTGGGATCATGACCTGAGCTGAAGGCAGACGCTCAACTGACTGAGCCACCCAGGCGCCCTTTTTTTTTTTTAAATTTAAATTCAGTTATCCCCTGTACCTTCTTAAAACATTTCCTAATTAGGCATGAGGGAAGTGTAAGCTATTTTAGTTTCATCTGTGCCTCCCAGTTGAACAGCCCTATGCTCGACTGCATGGATAAATTGGAAAGAAAAAACTTGCAAGTGGCTCTGAGAGGTAAGGGATATTTATATAGTCTCTTAGGAAAGTATCTGTGAAGTGACTAGAATGTTTCATATTTTGTCATCCTGACTTAATTATAAATTTAAAAAAATTTTTATTTGTAAATAATCTCAAATATACAAATAAGTTGCAAAACTAAAAATAGTACAAAGAACTCCTGAAAATCCTTTACCCAGATCACCTTTTGTTAACATTTTGTCCCATTTGCTTGTCATTTGTGCTCTCTATCTGTACATTTTTCTCTTTTGATCTCTAACTTTATTTTTTTTCTAAACTATTTGAGAGTAAGTTACATACCCGATGATTTTTTGTCGCTAAATACTTAGTATATACTTCCTAAGAATAGGGATAGTTTTCCTGACATAATCACAATTTAGGGATCGACTAGCAAGTTTATCAATAATTATTGTACTTTCATCTACCATTCATGTTCCAGTTTGACCATTGACTTTATGTTCTCCAAACTGCTCATGTCCCACAGTCCACTCTGTGATCCAAATATTTGGATGATTGTTAACAGTGGTTTTCCTAGCTTTATATAATTTTTTGAAAAATCTTATCTGAAATTGGATGCTTATCTCTCCTGAGGTGATTCGGGATGTCATAAATGTGCACATGGAAGAACTCAGTAGTCATTGGCAAGAAGAGCAGGAAAGAGCAGAGGAGGATGCTGAAAAGTATGTCATGGTGTTTACCGGTGAAAATATTCTCTTTCTAATCTGTTACATTATTATTATTTAACTAAATTTTAGCGTTTCCAAGACCATTAATAATAGCACACCGTAATTCATTAAAAGGCTTAAATTGTTCCATGTTGTCATTGCTCAAGATTATTATACCAGAGTTTTTCTGTTGACATTGCTCTTTGACAATTTTGGAGAGGCAAATACGTTAGTGAAATAGTAAAGAGGTAAAACATATAAGAGCTATATTTCTTTGTCCTCTCATAGAATATAAGTTTATACCTATTTATATCGACTCTGTCATTGTTCTGATATAGAATATTCAACTTTAAGCTATTTTGTGTGTTTGGTGGAGACTCGTGGTTAAAACTAACTCTTCTGTGTTTCAGGAATGAAGAAAGGCGATCAGTTTCAGTAGATTCACGGCAGTCTGGTGGAAGTTATTTGGATGCTGAGTATTCACGACATAGAAAGGATCGGAGTAGGAGCCCACATAAACGAAAAAGAAATAAAGATAAGGATAAAAACTGGGACTCGAGAAGAAGGAAAGACAGGTAAGTCACACTGCATCATCTGTTGTTGAATTGTTTACTCTTGAAAAGTAAATAGATCTTCTGTTGTAGACAACGTTGAGAAAATGGATTGTAAGAGTAAATTACAGCAAGGAGAGTAAGTTTTTGATGAGAATTCTTATCATTTGGTTTCAGTTCAAGTAACCATAGCTCTGGTGGCATAGTTCTCTATATGCCTGAATTGATATGGGTTTCCCTCTTTTACTCCTTGTTTCCTAGCCAGGAAATAAGGAAGTAATGTCTAGGTAGGAAGTTAACTCTGTTAACGAGGTGTTTGCCTACATCTCTTTTTTCTGCTCCTTCCTCCCTCCTTTTTCTTGTCATTTCTTTCTCCTGCTCATTCCTGAGTTAAAGGGTCTGTAGGGTGAGAGAGACATCCAAAGTTTACTGTCAAGTCAGTTTTGCCCTTGTTAACATCGCTGATAGAATTTTGACAGCTGGAGGGGCGCCTGGGTGGCTCAGTCGTTAGGCATCTGCCTTTGGCTCAGGTCATGATTCTAGGGTCCTGGGATCGAGCCCCCCATCGGGCTCCCTGCTCCGTGGGAAGCCTGCTTCTCCCTCTCCCACTCTCCCCCTGCTTGTGTTCCTTCTCTTGCTGTGTCTCTCTCTGTCAAATAAATAAAATCTTTAAAGGAAAAAAAGAGAATTTTGACAGCTGGAAAGATATGAACTAATACTAAAATAATAAATTTAAATCAGTTGTGATCTATTCCAGTAGTCCAGCTGCTTATGGGGCATCTGTCTGGATCTCAATGTTAGGTCTCTAACTGAACTGTTTTTCATACCCTCCCTCTTTCCCCAGCATTCCTATTCTGGTTAATGGGATGACCATCTTCTGTCCACCTAAGTCAGAAATCATGGAGTTATTTTAGTTGCTCCTTTTTTATTCCTACCATCTGATTAGTTCCTAATTGCTATCAGTTGTACTTGAAGATACCTTTACATGCACCTCCTCATCTATCCTTACTGCTGTCCACCTGGGAAATGATAGTTTTCCTAATTGTTCTAATCACCTGTAAGCTTGTCCCATATGGAGTCATCTCTACTTTACTGCCTGAGTGAATTTTCACTCTTAAAATTCTTCAGGGGCAAAATCCACATTGTTGAGAATGGTTCCCAAGACTTCCAGGATCCGGGCTCTTGGCTACCCATCCTTATATTTTGCCACTACCCCATGAAATACTGAATTATGCTTTAGCTAGCCTAATTACTTACAGTTCCTCATCTATACTGTGCCACATTTATGCCTTTCTGTGTCAGGTTGTGCTGCCTAATTTTTATTTTTTTAAAGCCTGCTTGGTCTTTAAAGACCCAGTTAAGTCATTTCCATGAAACTTCTTTTCACTCATTGAGGCAGATCTGACCTTTCCAGTTTTGTCAGCACTCTGCCTACCATGTATTTTTTATTGAACTTAAGTTATTACTCTCCCTCCTAGACTGAGCTCCTTGAAGGCAAGTCCAGTGCACAGTATTTGTCTAGTAACAGCTTCTCAAATGATATCTTGTCCTTCTCCGGGCCACTGGTGATCAGGAATTAGTAATGCTTTTTGGTTTAATAATTTTGCTCATCTTACTATCATTTAGTTCGTTAGGTTTAAAGCTAGTGATGATTTAGTCCTCTTATAAAAATGAAATATTTGCTTTGTAATCCCTTTTGATTCATGTAATGAATGATATTTTGTAATAATTATACACAAATTGTCAGAATTATTATGCTTTTACTTCTTTCTGGTTTGTTAATGTTTCTTCCATTTTAGTAATTTTTGGCATCTCTGATCAATTTTTATTGACTTAAATACGTTAGACAACCTCAAATGTAAACATGAAATAATTTGAGTTTAAATAGTATTAATAGGAAATACTTCTCAAAAATGCAGGGCTGATCTTTGATATCCACGCCTGAAGTGGAATGAATTGTGTGGAGTTGATAGGAACCAGCATAAGGATATCAGACAATTTCTGAATTCTGTCTGTGACTTTAATATTTTATTTGGAATGAATTCTCTGGTCCTCATGTATATATATTCAAAGTTAATTTTAAAGCAGAACTCTAAAATGCAATTTTTAAAAAAATCTCATTTTGCTTATCCCCTTGTCAATTTTGTCCTTTAGTTTTAATGATTCATTTTCCATATTTACTCTTAAAAAAATTACTATTTGGGGCTTCCGGCTGTCTTAGTTGGTAGAACATGTGACTCTTGATCTCGGGGTCATGATTTCAAGCTTCACATTGAATGTAGAGCTTGCTTAATTAAAAACAAGTACTGAAACAGTTCTGAATGCATGCTTTAACTTGTTCTGAAGTACAGTACTGGTGAATTACTATTTTAAAGTTCTGATATTAAAATGTCCATCATTTGTAATAGTTTTTTTTTTCACTTCTATCATTTCAGGGATGGGGAAAGACATCATAGTCATAAAAGGAGAAAGCAAAAAATATAAATGAGGTATTTGTGCATGTATTAATTATACTTATGCCATGATAACCAGTATGACAACATTTTAATTACAATTGCTTTGAGTAGGAGAATGTTTGTATGACTTGTTTAGTGCTCAGATCATTAATTTTCAGTATTTATGTTTCAAACCATGAGTACACTTTTATGTCCTATAAGTTTGTTTTACTTATATTTTAATAGATGATTGCTTCCTATTACAGATTTTGTTTCATTCTTTGTGATAATTTATGTATCAGAAAATTCTTTAATTAAAGTCAGTACTTAAACTATATAAATAATAAATGAATACATTCTCATTTAAAAAAATTAAACCTTATAGCTAAGGTTAACGTCCCCTTGGAACACAACCTATAATCCCTGTGGCCTCACTAACTCAGTAACTACGACTTATCACTACACTAGTGAAATGTAATAGGGAAAAACAACCTAAATATCTGTCAGAAGGGGAATGGCCTGGTTAAATAAAATATGGTATAGTCATGTAATAGATTATTATATTGGATTTAAAAGAAATAAACTTTTTATTAACATGGATAGATCTCAGAAACATAATGCTAAGTGAAAATAGCAAACTGCAGAAAGATATATACAAGTTATATTTATGTACAATATAATACTGTACATTTTCTGTGACCATATATGTATGTAAATATATTTTTAAAGGTTCAGAAGGACCCATACCAAACCCACAACAGTAGTTATTTGGGGGAGGAGGTATAGATGGGAGAGATGAGGAATGAAAACCAGGATTGAGAGGGTGGTCAAAGAAAACTTTTGTTTTATCTACAATGCATTAATTTTTTAAAGTATTCATCTTTCACTTGTTAATTAAAAATAGATTTTAATTAAAATTAATAAATATACTGTCATTTTCTTTTATGTAAATCATCTTTATTGAGGTACTGTTTATATAAAATAAAATGCACCCATATTAAGTATACATTTCATTTAATTTTGACAAACTTACACCCCAGCCAATGAAGTCATCACCTTGATCAATATAGAGAACATTCCTATCACCCCCAAAAATTCTCATATGCCCCTTTTACCAGTTTCTCTAGGCAACCACAGATCTGGTTTTTGTTGCTGTTGATTAGATGTATCTTTTTTAGAATTCATATAAGCGGAATACTGTAATATGTACCTTCTTCCACTCCACGTATTTTTGAGATTGACCCATGTTTTGTGTGTCAGTTGTCTGTCTCTTCCTTTTCGTTTGTAGTATATTCTGATGTATGATAGGTCCCTCAGGTGAAACTTGGCCATTAAATGTTAATCATTTCCTGTCTAATAGCAATATCTTGAATCTTAGGAACTTAGGGTAAAGATTCCAAGGTGGGTTCCAAATAGAAATGAAACTAATTATTTCAGTAAGTAACTGACCGTGACAGAAAGGTTGACTGGATTTAGATCAGATTGACTCTTAGGCTTTAGGTATAAAAAACAGCTCTCAGATTTATAAGTTGGAAATCAACCGTTCACTTGCTAATATGAAGTCTTATTACTGCTGTTGTACTTAATTTCTAAATATATAAAATGCAGATTTAAAAATCTTAAGGACTTTGGCGTTACCACAATGGTGAACCATGTGTCATTGCTGCTTTTGTAGGTCAAAACCATTTGAACTAATCAACCATTTTATATGTTGTAACTTAATTTATTATTTTGTTTTTCAATGTGATTTCAATGATTTTGCTGAGTGGAAGAAACTAAAGAGTGAGATTGAAAGGCATACTTGGATTTTTAGTAGAAGAGAGAAAGAAGTGCGTTGGTGGGCCTGAGGAAGAATAGGGCAGATGGAGAAAGATCATCTAACCAGAGCGCGTGCTTCAGTGGTACACGTGCTGGAGCTAGCAAGGGTACAGAGAAGATGGGCATGGCCCCCGCGCAAGGATGAGACCTGAAATGTAACCAGAGTTCTTTATAGATTTTTAAGTATAAGACCAACTACTGCAAACTATTCCATAAAATGTAGATTTCGATGATAAGAGGCTTTGTTTGATCTTTGCACATATTAATTTTCCATGCTTATCTATATGTGTTTCAGACTCCTTCACTGGATTATGAGCTCTTTGAGAGAAGGTTTTATATCTTTAGCTCTGTAACCCCTAGCTCTGTAATGCCTAGCACAATAGTTACCAGTTTATCGTTTTAAATTTTGGCAAAAGCATTTGCAAGCCCCTGTCACTTAACATCTAATTTTTTGATTCATAAAATACTGATATTAATAAGTACTATAACTGCTATCCGTCTTACCCCTTACCAAGTCCTATCTCAGATGGTACCTTCTTGCCTACATTTATGATGTACTGGCCATAAACAATTTGCTCTGTTGAACTCTTTTAAAAGCACTAAGGATAGTTAATGTTTATTGAGTATTTACTGTGTAGCGGACTGAGCTTTTTTTAAATATATATATAAAGTATACATAACAAGATTTACCAGTTAGCTGTTTTTTTTTTTTAAAGATTTTATTTATTCATTTGACAGAGAGAGACACAGCAAGAGAGGGAACACAAGCAGGGGGAGTGGGAGAGGAAGAAGCAGGCCTCGCACCGAGCAGGGAGCCTGATGCGGGGCTCGATCCCAGGACCCTGGGATCACGACCCGAGCCAAAGGCAGACACTTTACGACTGAGCCACCCAGGCGCCCCCAGTTAGCTGTTTTTGAGTGCATAGTTCAGTGGCATTAATAATCACACTGTTGTACAGCCATCACCACTATACCTTTCCAGAATGTTTTCATCATCCCAAACTGAATCTCTCTCTACCCATTATATAGCAGCTCTTCATTTACCCCTTCCCCCAGCCCTTGGTAACCACCACTCTACTTTCTGTCTCTATGAATTTGACTATTCTAGGGACCGCATATAAGTGCAATCATAGAATATTTGTGTGTGTATGTGTGTGTCTGGCTTATTTTACTTAGTGTTTTCAAGATTCATCCATGTTGTAGCATGTATCACAAATTCATTTCTTTTAAGGCTGTGTGTATATTCCATATTTGTTTGTCCATTCATCTGTTGGGCATACACAACTTTTGCTATTGTGAATAACACTACTGTGAACATGGCTGTACAGAAATCTGTTTGAGTCCCTGTTTCCGTTTCTTGTGGATGTATACCTAGAATTGGAATCACTCGGTCGTAAGTTAACTCTAGGTTTCGTTTTTTGAGAAACCTCCAAACTGTTTTCCACAGGTCTATACATTTTACATTCCCACCAGCAATGCAGCAGGGATCCAGAGTTCTCTCTTCTCCGTTTTTGGCAACATTTGGTATTTTCTTGTGTTTTTTTGTGTTTTTGGTAATAGCCATTCTAATGCGTGTGAAGTGGTATCTCTTTGTGGTTTTGATGAGCTCTTTGTATTAAACATATTTAGTTCTTAGGAAACACTCTGAGGTGTAAAGACTAGTATTTTCACCATTTTAGAAATGACGAAAATGAGGTTCAAGGAACTAAATAACCTGCTCTAGTTCTCAAAGAGAGTGGTGGTCCGGAGGCCCAGTCTAGGCAGTCTTGCCCCAGGGTTCATGCTCTTTGAGTACGTCCCTCTTATATTATAATAACTTACGTATTGCTTATGTCTCCACAACTAGGTTTTAAAATTTTTTGAAAGTAAAATTTGTGTGATTATCTTTGAATCCCCAAAGTGCTTAGTTTGATTCCTTGAATGATATAGGTGATAAATATCTGTGGATAAGAAAATTTAGGCATAGAAATACTTAAAATTATTTTCCCAATGTCATACAAGCAATGCAACAAAGATTGTAATTAGAGCCCCTGCTCTTAACCGGTATACAGACTCTTTTTTTACTTTTTTAAAGATTTTATTATTTATTCTTAAGTAATCTCTACACCCATCGTGGGGCTCATACTCACAACCCTGAGATCAAGGGTTGCACGTTCCACCGACTGAGCCAGCCAGGCACCCCTATACAAACTTTTATTAACTGTGGACAGTTGAATGGACTTATATCATGGTAGTGTCTGCCATTTCATAACAATCTCTGCATATCCACCAAGTTCTCTGCACTCCCTTATAAAATCTGAAAAAATGAACATTTTATCATCCACCATTTTGTAAATTCAAACTGATTCATAAACTTGCTTTGTATCTCGATACCTATTAATTATGTACCAAAGTTCATTGCAGTGATCAACTTTACATTTCACATGAAGACATAAAAATCAAAATCTCACAGTACCTCCTAAAATTAAGAATGCTTGACAGGTTTTTTTTGTTTTTTTTTTTTTAAGATTTTACTTATTTGTCAGAGAGAGAGAGTGAGACCAGAAGCAGGGGGAGCAGCAGAGGGAGAAGCAGGCTCCATCCCAGGACCCTGGGATCATAACCCCAGCCGAAGGCAGACGCTTACCCGACTGAGCCACCCAGGCGCCCCAAGAATGCTTGACAGTTAAATGCCAGATTGTTGGAGGAGGAATCTTAGCCAACATAAGGAAGTCGGAAGCAGCTGAGGAAAAATTCAGACCTGCTCTGTCCTCCTGCCTCCCATCTCCTGCGTTTGAAGAGGATGTGGGTGCGGTTTTTTAATCTGCCATAGGAGAACTGTGCTTACGCTGAAGTTTAAGAGAGAGGCAGTTGTAAGCAAAGAGAAATTAAGGAAACTTCTTAAATATTTAGACTGGCCTTGGTCGCTTTAATTTACATGTTTTCAAGGTGGTTGCTGTGCAGAGCCCAGGGTACTGATTACATTCAATAGGAAACTAAACTTGTCACTCAGATTTAGTTAGATCGGTCATCTCCAAGTCTTTGTCACTTTTGAGTAGGGCTGATTGGATAATCTCAAGCCTTTTAGTGAAAATTAGTTGTCAAATGGTAAATTATACATAAAATGTTTTAAATTGGCTTTGAAAAATATTTTTGAATCAACTATATATTACGTCGCACAGAAGTAATTAATATTATAAAAGTGTATGTAGGGTCTTTCTCCCTGTCTTTGAGGATACTTTCTTTTTATGTTTACCGAGTTTATAAAGGTCCAAGAGTTTTGGTGTGAAGCTTTGTTACATTGAGTATGAAAAAAAATCTACTGGTAGTTCTTGAGTATGTTTATGAGGATCATTTCTTTTTACGTAGCTTGCTTTTGAGTTGTTATAATTGAGCCAGCAGGTGTGTTAATTATTAAACTAAATCTCACTTCATTACATTTGTGGTTGTGCTTCCTACTCTGGTCACAGATTTGGGAGTTTGGTGTAATGGAAAGTCTTCACAGCTTTTGGATATTTGGATTGCCACCGGTAATTTCTGTTGCTCCTTTTCAGGAAGGAAAAAATTAAGATTTGTCAGGCTCAAGGCTGCAAGTTGGATTCATCTTTACTGAGCAAAGTAAAAAACCATCCAAAAACCCGGTGTGGTCACCTAAGAGAAAGGATGCTGCCATAAAATAGAATATAAACTTCCAAGCTTACTTTTAGTCCTTTGGTTTAGTAATAAAAGGCAGGAGGCCCTTCCCAGTTTAAAAGTTGCTAGGTGCCCGGGTGGCACAGATGGTTAAGTGGTTGCCTTCCGCTCAGGTCATGATCTCCAGGTCCTGGGATCCAGCGCCGTGTCAGGCTCCCAGCTCACTGGGGAGCCTGCTTCTCCCTCCCCCTCTGCCTCTCCCTTTGCTTGTGCTCTCTGTCTTTCTTTGTCAAATGAATAAATCTTAAAAAAAAAAAAAAGAATAAAACGTTGCTATACACAGCACCTGGACAATGTTAAATTAAGGAAGACTGCAGGCTCCAGAGAGTCCTGCCTTCTGAGGATCATACCTTGTGGCACCAATTAAGGGATTTGGGGTTGGGTTGCTTGAGTACCGTGTTTATGAGGCTACTTTCCCATAATCATGGAACTTTGGTAACCCGTGTTGTTCCTCCAGCTCCAAGCCACGATTCCTCTTCTAGAATGAGAAAGCTAATGAAGGGGAGCTTTCAGGAATCCAGAGAGATGAAGCATGAGCCTGGGCTTTATTTGCTCTTGCTAACACTATTTAATACAAGTGAAACACTTGTAAGTAACAAATTCTTCACATAATGGAAGGAATAGCCTTGATCAGAGGGAGCAGTGGGATGAGTGAGATGGATACAAACAGGTCTGCCTCTTCACTGTGACCCGGGGCAAATCCATCTTTCCATGCCTCCTATTCCTCATCTGTAGATTCAGAGTAACTGTGCTCTCAAGGGTCGCGCTGAGGTTGAGAGAGAACGAATGTGTCTGGCTCACATAGAGTCTGATCAATGGCAAGTGTAAATACCTGCCATTATTATTTGTAGCACACTTGTGAATATTTTCTTTCTGCTCTGCCTCCTATTTTGGCTTTGCTTAGGGACCAACCCAGATACCTGTCTCATGCCCTCAGAGAATTCTGTCCTACTATAATATTAGCACACATGCTACACATCCTTGAAGACTCCATAGAGAAGTGTATTTAGGCAAGTGCTTCACATTACCTACCTCCGGGGCACATGAATGGCTGACCAGCATAAAAATACTGAAATACCTCTCAGCTGCTTGGTAAATAACTTGCTGTCCCAAGTCCCACCTCTCATCTCCCCTTCCTTGTTATGGAAATTCTTGACCGTTTCCTAGGCACCACCCTGATCCAGCAAATAAAGGGCTGATGTGTAGCACAGCTGGAGGCCTCGGAGTACCCTGCTCCAGAGCTAAGGCTGGTTGGTGGCTGTTCTGATTACTTGGTGACTATGCCATCAGCCTCTCCCCCAAACAGTGATACCATTGTTAACCTGGGATGTATTATTCCATTTCTCACTTTGCCCTATATAGTGGGCTCTGTGTGCAGGTTGCTATATTTTGGGAATACTGATCATGGACATGGTTACACACACTTGAATCAGCCACAGCTTCCTGTAGACTACAGTAGTGCAAGTGTGGAAGGAGGAATCAGAAGTATATTGTTGTAAGGGTCTCACACTATACATGTATAATATTTGAATACAGATTATGGTAAGTGAATATATATAATAAA